ATTAATGAAATATCCCTTTCATGCTTTTAAAGTAATATTGTAACTTTCATTTTTTAACTTATTAAGAGGAAATAAATTTTTAGGTGGCCCACTTTTGCTTTTTAATTAAAAAATTTAAATAGACTCAATTACTTTTAGTAATATATACATACAAGTTATTGAAATGATGACTTCATGTGGTTTTCTCTTTAAAGATGGCAATTGTAGGTACAAAGATGCAGAGATGTCTGTAGACTTTAGATGTTTACTTAAAAAGATTTAATAGTAGTTTGATACTGGGTTTCCTCATCTAGCTGAAGATTCACAGATTCTCCATAATCAAACTGATGTCTTCGATTTAGATGATTAATGAAATTTCTGGTGATCTGGCTAAGATCTCCCCAAGGATGAAACACAAATAGGAAGTGTCAGAGGAACTATCTGAAATAGGTGGTTACTGTACTATTACAGTGATCCAGTAAGTGCTGTCTGGTAAGATTGGATTCTTTTTTTTTTTTTTTGGTACCAGAGATCGAACTTGGGTCCTTGCACTTGTGAGGCAGGCAGTGGAACCACTGAGCTAAATCCCTGGCCCTAAGATTGGATTCTTTTTTTTTTTTTTTTGGTGCTGGGGATCGAACTTGGGTCCTTGGGCTTGCAAGGCAGGCAGGGGAACCCCTGAGCTAAATCCCCGGCCCTAAGATTGGATTCTTGACACAAAGGACATTTAAAGGTGGTGTCTTAGCTACTTTCTCATCACTGAGGCACAATACCCAAAACTCTTAAGGAGGAAAGGTTTATTTTTTCTGAGTTTGTAGAGGTTTCAGTCCCTAGTCAGGTGGCTCCAAGACAGGGTGGCATAGCAGAGGAGAAACTGCTCATGGCTTGGCACAGGAAGCAGAGATCAAGGGAGGAGGCAGATAAATCTTTTCAGGCCACGCCCCCAGTGACTCACTCCTCCCCTAATCACATTTAGCTATAAATTTATCAATAGACTAATCCACTGAAGCATATCACACACCCATGATCCAGTCACCTCTCCAAAGCCCCATCTATGAGCACATGAGGCATTGAGGGACATTTTTGATATAAACCATAACAGGTGGGATGCCCAGAAGAATTTCTCTTGGTAAATGTCAGTATTATCAGACGTGCATGTTTCACTCCTACCATATTACTGTTTCCTGTAGAATCTTGAGAAATCTGAATTTTGGAATGATTGAAGAAACACTGTATTCATCCTGATACAAGATTTGTAATGATGTCTCAATGTGATAAACCTTAATCTGTTTTGCACAGCATCTGAAGCTACCAGAAAACTTCCTCATGATGTTTTCAAGATGTAAGGCCTGTTCTGGACATGCTCTTTCTCTTTTAGTCACATTTCCACAACACAGGGGACAACGTATTCCACTTTTTCTCATTGCAGTCAGGAAGTATTTTCTACAGAAAACATGCTGGTCTGTTGGCCTGTGTTACTGACACACTATTTGTATCTTACTTCCCTCTTGAAAATAACAATAGGTTTAAAAAATGTAGTGTTACATTACTTGGTGTTACAGCAGAGAAGGATTACTAAGTGTGATTATTTTTTTTTGGACAAGTGTTTTCACTTGAGGCTTTATAAACACTGTATATTGTTTTAAGGAAGTGATAGGTTCTCGTTTAACTTTTTTTCCCCCTAAATACTTCCAGTGCTTTTGCAAGCCTCAGTGAATTTGTAAATGTGTATTTTACATATAACCTTACTCTTCACTTTCCAGAAGAAAAACTTTTTTTTCCCTTTGGTTTTCTGGGACAGGGTCTCATTGAGTAGTCCAGGCTGGTCTTGAACTCACTATGTAGCCCAAGTTGTCCTCGAACTTTTGGCGATCCTCTTGTCCTAGCCTCCTGAGTGCTGAGACTACAGGCTTGTTGCCACCATGCCTGGCTCCAGAAGAAAAACTCTTGATTCATATTTATGAAGTGGGTATTCTTTCAGTATTATTTGTGGGGTTGTTAGGAAGTTAAATGTCAACAGGATTTTGAAAAAGGTCTTACTTTATGAAAAATAGACTTGGAGGAAATTCAAACTACTATTGGATTAAACTCTAGTGAAAAACTGAAAGCATATCAAGACCTAATTTTTAAGATGTTGAGATTTAATTCAGTACCATAAAATTCATTCTTCAGTGCTTTTTAGTGTTTTCCTAAGGTTGTGCCAATATCACCAATATCTAATTACAGAAAATTTTAGTTACTTCATAATGAAGTAATGTAATGTACCTTCATAATGTACCTTACCAGTTACTCTCCATTCCCCTCTTTCCAACCCATGGCAGCCAGTAATATACTTCCCATCATTGTGGATTTGCCTATACCAGACATTTTATATAAATGGAATCATGTGGTATGTGGCTTTTTTTTCTGACTGGCCTCCTTCATTCAGCATAATATTTTCAAAGTTCATCCATGTTGTAGTATGTATTAGTACTTTTCATGGCTGCATGATATTCCATTGGACATATTACAGTTTGTTTATCCATTCATTAGTTGATGGACATCTGGCTTGTTAATTGTTTTTTTAGTTATTATGGATAATGCTGCTGTGAATATTTATGTCCAAGTTTTTAAAAAATTACTGTGGATTGAACCCATGGTAATTAAACTACCGCTGAGCTATACCCCACCCCCTTTTCTACCCTCACCCCCTCCTCTTTTTTTGAGATAGTTACCCAGACTGGGCTCAGACTTGAGATCCTCCTGCCTTAGCCTCTCAAATAGCTGGGATTACAGGCGTGTGCCACCACAATTAATTCATGTTCTGTACAAGCTTTTTTGTGAATATATTTTTAGTTCTCTTGGGTATATTCCTAGGAGTGAAATTCTAGGGTAACACTATGTTTAACTTTTTAAGGGACTGCCAAACTTTTCTAAAGTAGTTCTACCACTTTACATACTTATCAACAGTATTTTAGGATTCTAGTTTCTCTGTATTCTCAACTAACACTACTGATCCCTTTTTGATTATAGCCATTCTAGTGGATGTGATGTAGTATTTCATTGTGGTTTTTTATTTGCATTTCCTTAATGATTAATGATGTTAAGCTTTTTTTCATGTGCTTATTGGACATCTGTGTATCTTTGGAGAGATGTCTTTTTACCTCCTTTGCTGATTTAAAAGATTAGGTTATTAGCCGGGCATGGTGGCACTTGCCTGCCTCAGGAGGCTGAGGCAGGAGGAGCGCCACAAGTTTGAGGCCAGCCAGGGCTATGTAGTGAGTTCAAGGCCAGTCTGAACTGCAAAGTGAGACCTTGTCTGAAACAAACAAACCAACAAAAAACAGGTTATTGTTGAAATTATAATAGTTCTTTATATATTCTAGATACTAGATCATTACTGATTATATGATTTGCCAATTTTTGTTCCATTTTGTGGGGTTGTCTTTTCACTTTCCTGATAATGTCCTTTGAAGCACAAAAGTTTTGGGTTTGTAGTTTTTGGTGCTGAGATGAGCACAAAAGTTTTTAATTTTTGTGAATTTCAGTTTACCTAGTTTTTTCTATACTTGCTTATGCTTTAGTGTCATAATCTAAGAAACCATTCCCTAACCCCAAGTCATGAAGATTTACATCTGTGTTTTCTTCTAAGTTTTATAGCTTTTGCTTTTACATTTAACTTGAAGATTAAATTTAACTTCAGAATTACTCTTAATTTTACCCTAAAACCATTTTGGACTGGTGGGTTTTTGTATGTAACTTTGGTCTTTAAGATTTGGTTGATTTTTTTGTTTTGTTTTTGATTTTTAGCTTATTTAAATCTGACCTCCTTTATATTGAGAAACAAAATGACAACTGAATTTCCATTTAGTAGTGTTTGATTAATTGGTATACTCAATGTAGAAGTCAAGAAAGAAGTCATTGGGGTTGGGAATAGCTTGGTGGTGTATCACTGGCCTACCATGTGTGAAGAAAAAAAAGGAAGAAATTATTTAAATATGTTAAAAAAAAAAGAAAACTTGGGCAGATTTGGGTGGGGAAATATAGGAGAGTGGTCATTCTTAACATTGAATCAGCTGAGTGAATACGGAGTGAGGGGAGAATCTTCTGTTTTGGTAAATCAGAGTGACTGAATATAATTATTGACTGCTCTTAAAATTTGAAATAAAATGAAATAGCTGGAACACACAGCAACTTTGTAGTCTTTTAGTATCTTCTTAAAGTACTACTTAAAAAACAAAGCAAACAGGACTAGACAAAAACCCCACTGCCAGTCCTGCATATCCTATTCAGGGAAGGGAGAGAGAAAGTCACCAGATGAGGTTACTATAGCTTACTTTATCCTGTTATAAGGGCATATAAGAGAGGTAGGCTATCTTATATTTAAGGCTCATAGTTAAACCTGGGTGTGAATTTCAGAGGCTATTTACTAGCCATATAACTCTGGGTGAATAACTTAATGCTTCTTAGACATCAGTTTCCTCATTGGGAAGTTAGGGATTATGAAGATGCCTACCATAGCGTTGTTTGGAGGGTTAAATGAGACAGCATACTGTCCATGTTAATAAACACTTACTAGTGACTCTTTTTTCTTATTCTCAGGTAATGACTATAATATTTAAATAAATTTGGGGTTGAGGGCGTAGCTTTGTGGTCAAGGATGTGCTTAGTGTGTTCAAGGCCCAGGGCTCAATCCAGAGCACATATACGTGTCCATTAACTGGATAGAAGTAAAGACTCTGCCTTATTTCTTTTCTTGTTTCAATTTTTTTTCTCTTGTTTTTCAGTCTGGCTGATATTTCAGCCCCAAATTTAAGAAAGTGGTCAGTTTAATTCTTTTTATGAAATAAGTTGTAATTGTTAGCTTGTTCTCTTATGTTTAATTCTTGTTTCTTTTCTTTGTGTAAAGCTGGAATTGATGTTAATGTGATCATGCTTCAGGAATCCCGAGTTTATGATATGAATACCAGCACACAATTCTGTTATAAAAATGTGCTTACCCCAAAGTGGCATGATGTATGGACACGGATTCAGGTAATAATTTGGAAGCCCCTCACAGGGGTGTCTCAGTTCCTTCATGTAGCTTTACAATACTATGATCCTGAGGTAATCTTTCTTCCTTCTTCCTTCCTTTTCCCAAAGAAAGTGCTTCCTTCTCTTTCCAATCTTCTTTTTGCAGTGTGCACACACACAAACATACACATATGCATGCACACTCACATTTCTTTTTAAAGGTCTTATACCTTCTTTGGACTGGAAATTGTAGTGTGCCTATCAGGGTATAAACTCTTGCTTTGCTGCTGCTGCTGCTGCTTTTTTTGGTAGTACTGAGGATTGAACCCAGGGCCTTCACAATAAGCTACATATCCAGTCCTTTACTTTTAAAATTTGCTAAGTTGCTAAATTTCCCAGGCTTTGTGCTCAAACTTGTGATCCTCTTGTTTCAGTCTCTGGGAGTACTGGAGCTACAGGCGTGTGCCACCATGCCTGGTGCTTTGCTGCTTCTATTCTATTTTGATTCTACATGAGATAGTTTATAAACCCTCTGAGCTGAAGTTTCCCCTTGGTAGAATGACATACATCTCATTTATTTAATAACATTGTTAAGTCACCTGGTACGCAAGAGTGTCTGGCTGTAATAGTGATTGAACAAAATGAGCTCTTTTGGAAATGTCGCTGCTTCTATAAGTGTGGTTACAGATAAGGGTATTTGTTGTTCACATCAAAAACCTAAGAGTAGGCTTATGGTTTTTTTTTTTAATACTTGTTTTTTATTGTCTGATAGAAAATCATACTCCATCTGGGGTACATCATAACAACATTTACCTATAATCAGTGATTTGTGACAAAGGGTTGAACTTCTCAGCCTGTCATTATGGGAAACATTTTCAGTTTTCTATTTATGACTGGCAATTTTCTTAATATTCTAGGCCTTTGCATTGTTCAGTCTCACATAAATGGCTGTATTGATAACTTTCATCTTGAGAATCTTTCCCCTTCTATGTTCTGGCCTAATTGTAGATTCAGATCATGTTAACAAGAACACACTCTAACAGCTGCCTCTGTACTCTGTGCAGTATTATTTGCCCAATTATGTTTTAGCTGCTGCATGAGTGTATTTCTGAGAAGCCTTGTGGAAAACTGGCACCATTACTGATTCATCTATTTACTTTTAAGGGTTTTAAAAAAATTATATTTGTGAAAAATTTAAATTCCTACTTCTTTCTTTCTTATTCTGATTTTACTTGTGTTACAGATCCGGGTAAATAGTTCCAAATTGGTTCAAGTCACCCAGGTGGACAATGAGGAGAAACTGAAGGAGCTAGAGCAGTTTAGTATCTGGAACTTTTTTTCCTCCTTTTTAAGAGAGAAATTGAATGACACCTATGTTAACGTGGGTCTATACAGCACAAAAACCTGCCTCAAAGTTGAGATTATAGAGAAGGACACCAAGTACTGTGTCATTGTGACCCGGAGTAAGTCTCATCTCTGTTTTTCTGATGGATTCTATAGTGAGTAGGCACTGAGCTTTGGAGGGTGTGATTAGTGAGACAGAGAAGTCAGCCTAAGACAGCTCCATTTTGGTTCTGATTATAACCCTGAGTACACCATGACTCCAGTTTAGTGACTCCACCCTACATCAGACTCTTTAGGCCTAGAAATCAAGACTTCACCTCTGCTATTCCAGCAACTCCTTGGTTTGAGTTGTGAAGGTTTCTGTTCCTAACAGTGCCAGTGGCCTGGAGCTGATAATGCCCACTATTTTTAGAGTAACTAGATATTTGTGTTCATGCATTCTGAACATTTCTAGACAAAGGCTGCTGTCCTGTGTACAGCCCTGCATTTCAAGACATGAATGTTTAAACAAAAACTAAGGAAAGGTGAAATTGAATATTAGTAATTCACAAGTAGAAAATACTTGTGGAGGGCTGGGGATTTAGCTCAGTGGTTCCACTGCCTGCCTCGCAAGCGCAAGGACCCGAGTTTGATACCCGGTACCAAAAAAAAAAAAAAAAGAAAGAAAAGAAAATACTTGTGGAACCATAAGTAAAGATAAGGACTACTGCAGTTTGAGCCTGGATTCAGTGAAACTGGGAGAAGTTTTTTCTTCCCTGAAGGTGTCTGAGAAAGTTTTAGAGGAGATAGTTTCTGTTGAATTATCTCTGTCTTGGTTTCTTCATGGTTACTAACTATCCAGGTCCTAGGAGTCATAGATAGATGAGTAGTAGACATGTGGTTATGCCCTTCCATTTGTCTTAGGGTTCCACAGTTATGTAGGGTTGGCTTGTTTTTTGTGTTCCTTCTGTGTTTACTGACTTATCTTGCTCTTGTTTATTGGCCTCCCCTAAACACAGAACTCCAAGAGTAAAAGATACCAGAGTCTCTGGTATGCCACTAAGGGGCCTTTGCTTGGTTTTGCTGGTCCTGAGTGAGATGTGTTTGGTGGGTAGGTAGGTAGGTTTTTCCAGCAGTGCTGTGCTGTGTAGCAAAGGAAAGTAGGTAATATTATTAGGCCAAAAAAAGCAGTCAGAAAACAACATGAGGTCCTGACCCAAAGTTTTAGGCAAATCTGAATTCCCTGCCAGTGACTTAGGCTTAAAAGCCAGAGCGGTAGAGACCCCTTGTGGACAATTGCATGAAATGTTGATGGCAAGGTGTAGCTCGTTCCAAAGTGAAGCTTACAACATAGGTAGCCAAAATAAAAAGATCTTCAGAAAAGTACTGGTTAGACAGAGACCTAGTTATACTTTCTCTTTGGAAGGATTCCCAGGCTTTGTGTGGAATGTACTATTTTACTGTACCCAACCAAAAGGCCAACATTGCTTTTTATTTTATAGTGCGTTAAACTGTTTGGTTCCCTTGTTAAGCAAAAAATCTTTCTTTACCTCAGGATTTGACCCCAAGCTCTTCCTCATTTTCTTCCTTGGAGTTGTACTGTTTTTTTGTGGAGACTTGCTGAGCAGGTAGGTTCCAAGGCTAGTGTGCCCCATGACAAGGCTCTTTCATACCCATGGTACTTTATCATAAAAACTGTAAGTATTGCCATTCCCTCTCCTAGGACCTTTATGGCTTGGGCATTTTCTGCTTGGATATTTAAAAAAATACGTTAATATGTATTATGATTTTTTTTCTGATTTGATTTTTATTTTTTTTGGTACGGGGATTGAACTTGGGACCTTGCGCTTGCAAGGCAGGCGGCAGCACCACTGAGCTAAATCCCTGGCTGATTTGAATAATATTGTTAATTAAATTCCTTTATTAGGTAGTCATCATAAGATTAATTGGATTTAGCCAGTGTACTATGAAGTTGACTGTCACCACCTTTTCTACTGTTAGAAGTAATGTGCTACTGCAGAGACGGATAGAGTGTAGTTGCTGCCAGATTGTGTTTAGATGTAAGGAGATAAACATCACTATTTTCATTTCCTTCCTTTAGGACCTATTAGCAAAGACAGGTGAAACTGACATGTACAAATATGAAGAAAACATGTAAACAACTAAGTAAATATTGAATGAAGGTAGAATCAACATGGTGCAGGGGTGGCAATGTAGCTCAGTGGCACCATGCCTGCCTGGCAAACCAAGGTTCTGAGTTCAATCCCTAGTACTGGAAAAAACAAAAAAAACATTGTACAAGTAAAAAGAGTAGTTGTGGAATAGTGAATGAGCAAATAACATTTGGGATTTGAAGTTGGGCTGAAGTGGGATTTGAGGAAGCTCTTCCTTGTATTGGAGATTCTGGGAAAAACACACAGTAAGGGAGAAATGACTAGAAAGAGCCTGGAATGGGAGTGGAATTACTGTTATTGACTCATGAAAGATTTGTTTATTCTTCTGATTAAACAATTCAGTTCCAGTTTCCAGTCTCTACTTGAGCAGTATTCTTGCTTTTTGCCCAGAGAAGCTGAGCAATTCCTTAGATGAAATATTCTTACTAAAACTTGGGTTGGAGCTTGGCATGGTGGTGCATCCTGTAATCCCAGTTCTCTGGGAGGCTGAGGCAGGAGGATTACAAGTTTGAGCTCAACCTAGGTAACTTAGTGACTTAGTGAGATCCTGTCTCAAAATTAAACAAAACAAAACAAAACAAAACAAAAAAAACCCTAGAAAACTAAAAACAATTAGGTTGGGAGAGATATTGGGGATGGAAGTGGGTTTATGCTTGGGATACACTTGAGGGGACCTCATTGATACTAATTTTTATAATATGGCAAAAACTACATTGCATCAATTTCTACAGTTCTCTGAACTGAAGTTCTTGGCAAATATCTGCTCTAATTTGTACCTTTAAGAAAATCTTGAGCAAAATACAAGATAGATACAGTAGTAGGAAACGGGAATCTTTTGCAAATGGAAAGGGAATCAAAGAGATGGAGGGAGGGGAGGGGAAAGGGAAATAAAACATAATTAATATGTGTTATATACATACACCCCATGGTGAATGTAATCATGTACTGCAAACATGTACTAATAAAAATTTTTAAAAAATCTTTTGGCTAGGTTAGTTGTACTAGTTTCAGCTGAATGTGAAGTATAACCTGTAATCATAAAATAAATTTTCTGTCTCAGGAGTCAGGTTTTCTACTATTCCACTGGGATGAGTGTGGGAATTGTGGCCTCTCTCCTAATCATCATTTTTATACTGTCCAAGTTTATGCCAAAGGTAAGTGGCAGAATCCTCATATGCAGTTAGGATAAACTTGAGTAATCTTAGAACACTGACAGTTTGCACTGATGGCTAATGAGTGAATGCCCTACTCTTTTCTTAATTCTGAAAGGTACCTTCCATGATGAAACTGGAACCTGATTGCATACACACTCTTTATTTAAAGTCCTGTGCTCAGTGGGGATTAAAGTCAATCTGTTTTCTAATTATGTAACTAGATTTTTAAGTTATTTAGCATCTCGTTTTTCCAGTGTTCCTTGCAAATTATACCTTTTTAGATATAAAGGACATCATTTTAAAGATGTGCATTTTGAGTAGGTTAAATTTTAAGAATCATAGTTCCATTTTGCTTCTTTTTTGTATGGAAAATCTTGTAATTATTTGCTTTCACTTGTACTGTGTTTTAGAAAAGTCCCATTTATGTCATCCTCGTGGGAGGCTGGTCCTTTTCTCTGTACCTCATTCAGCTAGTATTTAAGAACTTACAAGAGATCTGGAAGTGTTACTGGCAATATCTTTTAAGTAAGTGTTATCAATGTTGCTTTCTATTTTGCATGTTATAGGCTGTTTTAGTTAATTTGATCATGAAAAGATGTTGCCTATTTACAAGGAGTTAATAGTTTATGATATTTGATTAATTTGCAGAATCAATTTTCCACTTATTTCTAATACCATTATTACTTTTTTTTTTTTTGGTACCGGGGATCAAACTTGGGACTTTGTGCTTGTGAGGCAGGCGCCACAACCACTGAGCTAAATCCCTGGCCCCCACCATTATTACTTTTTAAAAAATTAAAATGTTGCTGCTAAGGAGAAGACTTTAATTTGTTGGTATTTATAAATACATTTCTGTTTACATAATACACATCTTCTTGAAAAACCATATATTGACTATTAATATAATCATACTTTAAATATACTTGAGAACCTTAAGAAGTAAAGATTGCAATGAATCTTATCTTCAGAGTAAGATTCTTTGGTCATGAGAATAAAAACCCTTGATATATTTTTTGAGAAGTGATCAATCTCTATTTCATATTTTAGACTTTTAAAATAGACTTTCAGAATTATTCAACCTATAGCTTTAATGCTCCATTTGAAACAAATAAGTTTCTGACAACAGAAAAGCTAGAAAGTTAACTATATGTATGTGTATATATATATATATGCGTGAGTGTTTGTGCATGTGTGTATTGTGTACCCATACACACATTTTTCCTACTAATAAAAAAAGTATGAATAATTGAATAAACAACTTGTCCAGTTTCTTGGTTCAGCAGATGCTATATAGAGAATTTATTGCTACTCTTTACACAAATTATTTATTATTTTATCTGTGTCTATGCTAGACATAGATAAAAAAGAATGTCTTGTGATAACTCTTCTCATAGGCTACATCCTCACAGTTGGATTCATGAGTTTTGCAATATGTTACAAATATGGGCCCTTGGAGAATGAACGAAGTATCAACTTGCTGACTTGGACCTTGCAGCTGATGGGCCTGGGTTTCATGTATTCTGGCATCCAGATACCACACATTGCCCTTGGCACTGTCGTCATTGCACTGTGTACTAAGAATCTGGAATATCCTATTCAGTGGCTGTACATCACCTACAGGTGACTGGAAGGCAATGTAACTGTGCTGACATTTTCAATATGAGATGCATTTTACAGCAAAAGGATACAGAGGTGTGGCCCTGGGATCCTCTTTGTTAATGAGAAATTATTGTGTTATGCTTCTGCCTTTTTTCCTTCCTATTTTTTTTAGGCACTATAGGCTTTTTATAATTTTTATTCTAGTCATTTTATATAAAAGCAGTGAAATGTCATGTATTCCTGTTACCACTAGGTGGTGCATGTTATATCACTTTTATACCATAGGCCTCAGGTTAGCTGGTTCAAGATTATTTTAACCCTAATTGTCAAATTGCTTTGGAAGTCCTAGTCTTATTTTAAGATGTAGTTCATAGCATGTTATCACTTTATATATTGAGTATGGAATGGTCATGGATTCTGAGATTATTAATGGTTGTTCTGTTGCAGATAGTCAAAGTGATACCTTCAGTTTGAGGAACCAAGTCAATGGTCCACAGTATTATAAGATTGCTTTCTTGTCATTTTTCCATTTATTGGAAAATAAATATTTTGTTTATCATTTATTGGAAAATAAGTGAATTTATTCACACTAGTACACAATATTGGCTACTCTAACTTCACTAAAAGGAGTCCATTGTAACTAAAGATGTCTATGGAATAAAGATGGGAGTGATGACTCTTTAGTGTTCAGACTGGCTGCTGTATGCTTGGCTCACTGAATGGAGCTAGAGATGAGGATGGATATAGATTACTGATTAATGATTCATGATGTTATTTTGGTGAGCACAGAAAGATGTATAAGGCAAGAGAAAAGCCTGTCCCCCCTCGCCTTCTGACAGAAGAAGAGTATCGGATACAAGGAGAGGTAGAGACCCAAAAGGCTTTAGAAGAGCTCCGAACATTTTGTAACAGTCCAGACTGCTCTCCTTGGCAGACCATTTCTCGGATCCAGTTTCCAAAAAGGTAAACTTTTGGCCAGATAAACCAAGTATCAGGGTCACAGTGACCCTAGGTAACTTTGTTGTATTTGTGGCCCTTGTTTACTGTTAACCTAGGAGAGTGGTCAATTTATATATCTATAGCATATATTAAGCAGTAGTCCATTTCCTTTTTCTCTGAGAAACTACCTGCTCTAGCTTTTATTGAAGCATTGAGATGGGAAGATTCCAGCACCATATTAAGTTACCCCTCTCTGCAAGTTTTACATTGCTCTCTGAGTGGGTTTTTCTTTTTTGCTTTTTAGTTGGTAATAATGAGTATGTGAAGATTCAATTTGGAATCCTGACAGCGTAAAGTTTATAGGGCCATAAACAAATAACTGTGTAATGCCCTTAATTTTCTCTTATCAGGAATATGATGACTCAAGGAACCTTAGCATTTCCGTAACTAAAAAGGACAGGCTAGTGCTTATTAAGCTAGATAGAGTTTCAGGGGATGTTGGCCTACGATCCCACACTTTTTGTTTTTTTTCCTGTTTCTTGCTTTAGTCTGTGTACCTGCCAGAGTAGGGACAAGAATGTTGGCTTGACTCAATAAAATTAGAACTGTGAGCTTATCAAGCATTTCAATTTGTTCCTATTTTGAAAGATAATTGGAAGGATAAAAGACAGATTGATAATGAATATTATCTTCTCTTTTCCAGATTTGCTGACTTTGTGGAAGGCTCTTTCCATCTCACACCAAATGAAGTTTCTGTCCATGAGCAAGAGTATGGATTAGGGAGCATTATTGCCTTGGATGAGGAAGCATTCTCTGAGGAGGAAGACTCAGATTCTCCACACCTATCTGCCACACAAAACAACTTCCTCACTTAGGGAGTAGTTGTTTATTTTCGTGTAGGATGGCTTGGTGTCTTGGTGGTCTATGTTGTAAGTGCCATGCAATTCTTCTAGGCCTTTGTAGCAGGCAGAGGGATTATGCAGAGTTTCTCCCACTGAAATGAGAAGCTTGAGTAGATCTCCCTCTGGGAATGGCCTTGGTGGTCTCTGTGGGATCCCTGAGGAAGGAGAATGGGTAAAGCAGTGAATGCTGTGGCAGTTCACTTCCCACTGGTTAAGCTATCAGCCCATTTTTCTGTTCCCAAGAAATTGGATGTCCACAGCCAGCATGGCATTCTAGCTCCTCATGAAAGTTGAATCCGTCATAACCTTTGTGTCACCATGGCTGGCACTACAAAGTGAGAATTGTTGTAGTTGCAGTAATGCTTTCAGACCATAGGCTGCATCTGCCAAAGAGAAACCCATAAATCTGAGTCTCCTTTACTTTTGCTTTTATTTCAGTGACTTTAGAATAATCTTTTATTTAACTGCCTTTGGGGAAAATTGACTTTTGCCTTGTTTTTTTAAACAAATGTATTTTGAAAAACGTAACAAACTCATGTTCCAGAACAAGTGGGTGCTCCAGAATGACAAGGCCTATTGGCCCTTAGATATTTATTAATATGGATTATTCATTAAAGCCCCAGGAGCTGTTATATTGAGCTTTGAATTAGTTCTCAGATATATAATATTCTGAGTCCTACTTTGAGGAATGTACCTGTAGGCTTTTCTGTATGTGAGGTCTCTTGGGCTTTTTATTATATTCCACATTTAATTCTATCTTAAAAATACATTTGCATTTTTCTCTTCCTATTCCTCCTTGCTCTCCTTTTTCCTTTCAGGATAGGTCTATTACCTCACCTGTGGTGTGTGTACAGTTCAGTTTGTCTCATTTTTTATCCCCCATCCCTTCTTCTAGCCAAGAGAAGTGCTCTTGTTTACCCCAGTTTTTCCTGTCACTGGGTCACATGTCTTTGAGTTACTGTGGAAGAAACTATCCTTTTGTCTGCCTTGCTTTGTATACCCATCTACTCATTCTTTCAGCCTTCCTTACCACCTGTACTCTCCCAAATCTAGCTAATTTATAAGCATGAGATCATCTATGAAGTTTCTTGATACATAGTTTGTAGCTTGGAGCTACCCTAATTTACATTGCCGGGAAATCTTCGTGCCTCTGGATGCTCACTCAGCCATCAGGATCAGGCATATTTTTCTATGAATTTATTATTATTTGCAATTCCATTTCTGGCCAGAGATTCATGTTGTCTTATAGTGGCCTTAGTTTCATATTCTTTTGCTTTTGTAAAGTACTCTTACAAGCCAGCAATAACATTTATGAGGGAGCAAATTCCCAAGTATCTGTCATTTGCTTGGTTCTTTTTCTGTAGTTTTTCACCCTTTTACTTTGGGAAAAGCTATAATTCCTTTAGCCAGGAAGGTAGACATTCATGGCAGGTGCATAGCATTGGACTTGCTGACTTGCCATAATCAGAGAAGAAAGTTGAATTTTTAAAAAGCTGTTATAACTCATTCAGACCAGCCACTAGAATGTAATTTTAAAAGACCCTGGGCTCCATTGCTGACTTCTGAAATGTCAGCTCTGAGACTCCCATCCAGGTGCCTGGCTGATTATTTCCACCAGTGTTCCCCCCATAGCCTTCAGCTGTAAAGTGACAGCTACCTCAATTGGCAGAAAGAGACAGTAGAAGAGAAAGATGAACAGTATTTGATAGATGCTGTGGGTTAAAGTTGCAGAATACAAAGAACTTTATATTGGGAAGCCTTTATCCCTTTGTGAATTATGTGCATGGTAAAATTTTATCCTACAATGAACTATTAAAACCTCTGAGGGACTGGATATATAGCTCAGTGATATTGCACTTGCCTAACATGCACAAGGCCTTAGGTTTAAACCCCAGCAACCCCCCCCAATCCTGTGAAATACTATAGTTTTTGACATTATTTTAGAAATTTGAGACCTAGCATATTTGAGTGTAAATTAACTTGAAAAAATAATTTAACTGTACAGCGGGTCTCAGGATCTCTGTGGCTATTGGTGCCTTCCCCCAAACATCTTAGGGAAGTGGTAGCTTGTCTCCAGAGCAACATTTCCTGGTTCATGTCTTTATTTCAGTAAGAAGCCATTGTGAAGTTGAGAAAGATTCTCCTTTTCTGTGTAGTAAACTCTTTGTGAAAAGTTTCAAGGCTAGTCTTTTTTTCTCTGTGTTGAATTTGGGGTGAGTAAAATCACATTCATTTTATTACTCCCTGTCTGGTAATTGGAGAACTGAGCTTCAGGTGGTGGAAATGACAGTTGTTCCTGCAACATGAGCATTGCTCTCAATGAAGGGCAGTGTCTGTGTAGTGTGCTGCCTGTCTTTTTCCTGCCTGCCTGTGTGGTTCTGCCCAGATGTTTCAGATCATCTGTGTGCCTAGAGATTGCTTGACTATGTAAACCTTTAGGAGCTGTTCTTGTCTCCCTCTTAGTCCCTTAATCTGGCTCAGTCACCACTTGAAGCCCCTATTTAATTTTCCCTGGCAGTTACAGCTATTGCAATTTCAGCATAGTCTTATTTCAGACCAATTTCATCAGGAAGGATTGAAGGGATAACTATAGGATGAGCTGGACATTGGAGCCATGTCTGCTGCATGTCAGCGTCTTGCTCGACAAATATCAAGCCATAAATTGGCCTGAGGGATCAGGGTCTCATCAGCATTGGAAATCTATTGTCTCTAATTGGACCAAGTTGTGTAGAGCATGCTTCCCATTAATGGGAGTATAAGAGGCAACTGGCCTAAAATATTTTTCTTTCACTTTCCTACTCAGGTGGTTTTCATGACAGCAACAAAACATAATGACCAAAACCAAAAAAAAAAAAAAATTTTTTTTAACAACTTTGTTACATTTTAATAAGAAATTCCTATCAGCCACTGCACCATACCAAAACCAGTTGGTTTCCCTCCCCAAATTCATGATTTTTATGTCTGTTACAAAGGAAATTTTACTGATAGTAGCACTTTGGGTCCTACTGTTCCTTTTACAGTAATGCATCCCATTCCAGTGCTCAGGCCTCTCTTCATCAGTTGTGTCCCTTTAACCCAGTCCATAGTTGGCATTAGGATGGAGGTGTTTTTGTTGTTGTTGTTGTTTTAGTACTGGGGATCAAACTCAGTACCTTGTACTTCCAAGGTAGGCATGGTGCCCCTGAACTAAATCCCTGGCCGAGGTGGGTTTTTTGTTTTGTTTTGTTTTTGAGACAGGGTCTCACTGTAGTTCAGGCTGGCCTTGAACTCACTATGTTGCCTGGGCTGACCTTGAACTCAACAGTGATCCTCCTGCCTCAGCCCCCTGACTACTGGGATTACACGTGTGTGCCACCACTCCTGGCTTAAGCTGGAGGTTTGATGAATGAAAGGACCTAAATAATACAAATAGTCTCCCAGGCCCTGATATCCATAAAAGGCTTGGGAATGGATTATGTAATTGCCCTCAATCTTTTTGTTGTTTCAGAAAAATAAAAAAGATGGGCTCAGATGGATTCCTGTTTAAAAATGGTTCCTAGCCATATAACTCTTCTGAATTGAGTGGTAAAAGCTGAAGTAGGAGGAAAGGAAATTAAACATCCTTCTAGTATTCCTTTGCGCTAAGGTCTGACATATGAGATAATAACCTGTATTGAAATGCGAGGACTTCTGTCTGAACTAAGAAGAGGAGAGTTGGGTAGATTTATTGTTTTCTTTCATTATATAGGCACTGAAACCAAATAATAAACATGAAATAGCCACTGCACAAGGCAGATGCACCTGGACATTCTTGTTTTCCATGTGGCAGAATTCATTTTTTTTTTTAGGGGAACCAATGCAACTAACTGTGGGATCCAGTGGTATCTTAGTGACAACTTATGGATTTAGGTTGCTATTGAGTTGGGTTCTAGATAGTTAACTGCCTTGAAAAGGATGTCTAGTGCCTTATGTGGCAGGAGCCAGAACCTGCTGGGAATAAACAAAGTAGAGTCATGCCAGTGTCACCTTACAGCTTTGGTGGGGCTGTGAGTGTTCACCCAGACTCCCCAAAAGGTGGAGCTATGGACTCCCCTGCCTCCTGTCATCTTCCTCTTTCACACTCTCGATGACTACTTGAAAATAGTGAACTCATTTTCTTTGAACTTGCCTACAGCATAAGCATTCTATGAACAACAGACAGCTCATAATGTGAATTTAAGAAACTGTTGGAGACTACAATTGCCACAGTTTTCCATGTGTTTGGAATTGATGTTGAAATAACAGGGCTAAGAAATTACTGGGTAAATTTTAGCCTGTGGGTAATGCCTTAGTGTTTAGATAAAAGATTTGTCACTTATATTTAAAATACATGTTCATAAATGTTTGTAAGTAATGAAATCATCAGGGATGGCTCTTTGCCATGGGTCTCATTTTCATCTTTCTGTAAAATAATGATGTCTTACATATTTTAAAATTTTTATTATATAGTTTGTGAGTAACCTCAATTTTAATAAAGTTTTATAAACTATGCAGTGATCTTTTTTTTTTTTTGTACTGGGGATTGAACTCAGGACCTTGCTCTTGGAAGGCAGGTGTGGCACCACTGAGCTACGTCCCCTGCCCCTGCAGTGATCACTCTTAATGAATATATACTCTCTTGTTTGGACCTCGTGCTTTCAGGTAATCAGCGGTTGACTCTTCAGTTTCTTGTCATTGGTTTCCCCCCATTTAACAATCCCTCCCCACTCTAAGTCTGTATTGTCTGCTGCCATCCTCGGACTGAATGATTTCCTGGGATGCCATTATTTCATAGGGGCAATCCTGCAGGAGTAGCAGATTGTTACTCCTGTGCTGTATCAAAGGAAAAGTAAAGGTTATTCCTGGTCTAGGAAGCTACTCTGTACTTTAGTTATTTTATTATTGTTGTTCTTTTTTATGACAGAGTAGCTCTTGTTTCTCTGTTGGGATGGGAGAAATCTATGGATGCAGGTATGGGATGCTTACCAAGAGTTTTGTGTAAGATATAAGAGGGACCAGGGCTGTAATGAGCATTAGGAGCCATGGGATATAAGCTTTGATTATGTCTAGGTCCAGCTTCTGCTGTAGGAGTTTTCTATCTTCCTTTCTTTTCTTTTTTTCTCTAATAAATTAACTATTTCCTTTGTCTAGCATTTGTATTCTGTACCTTTCTCTGTTCTTAGTTACTTGGAAATCCATTGTACATTTTTTTTAAAAGATAAAGTTGACAGGATGAAGACCAATAAGAAAATGGAATGTAGACCATATATAAATTTGTGTAGATTAATACAGATGCATCCTTTTTCTCTTTTCTGTAACTTACTAGGTAATGAGGCATAGAGAATCATTAACAGCTAAATTAGTAAAAACTTAAAGGATTTTTGCTAGATGTGCAATATCACAGGGTTTTAGTAAAGACAGAAAAAGTTTATGATATGTAAAGTAGTTCTCAAATTTAACATGCATAGTAATTGTTGGGGGAACTTGTTAAAATGCAGACCTGGTTCTGCATATCTGCAGTAGTGTCCAGGATTCTGCCTTTCTAATCTGCTTCCAGGTGATTTGGATGTTGGTGGTCTATGTATGGACTTTGTTTTGAATAGCAAGGATGTAAAGCACTTAGCCTGTTGCTTGGGACATGGTACTTGGTATTATTGACACCGATAATTTATGAGTAACTTTATCACCAAATATCTTGCCCATCATATTTGAAAACTTCTTTTTTTTTTTTTTGCTTTGGTACTAGAGATCGAACTCAGGACCTTGTGCTTTCAAGGCAGGCGGCAGAACCACTGAGCTAAACCCCTGGCCCCAAAACTTCTGTGTTTTTATTGTGTAGTATTTTTTAAGAAGTTACTCTCTCAGGAGGATTATTGAATGAATTGGTTTAATCTGATTGTTGCCCTCCCAGCTTTTATGAGAAATCACCAAAAGATTTGGAATTGTTCCCTCTTCATCATTATTCTTTTTGCCAGCTTTATTTTAATATACTTTATACAATAAAATTCACTAGTTTTAAGTAGTTTTGACAGTTTTATAGACCCCCCTCTATTGTAATATAGAACATTTTCATTATTTTCAAAAGTTCCCTCACCATTACATGGACTAGACCAGCACCTCACACATGCTAGGCAAGCATTCCACCTCTGAGATACATTGAAGCCCAGACTAGACAAAGGAAAGAGATTTTGGAGTCAGAGAAATAACAAACTCCAGTTGCTTCAGTTTTGTCTAGAAATCAGGATCTTCCAATGCTGCATCCTTCCCTCTACTCCCTACCTAAAATGGTTTTTTTTGGGTACCAGGGATTGAACTCGGGACCTTGCACTTGGGAGGCAGGCAGCAGAACCACTGAGCTAAATCCCTAGCCCTTAAAATGTTTTGAAAGATCCTGAAATGCCAGCTGACTTGGATGAACATGTCATTCTAGTTTAGAATAGCCCATTGATTCCATTTTAACTTGGGTTGTAGCACTCAGATTCATACCTCCTAGCAGCTGGGAACCCATTGTGGGTCCAGGCAGACTAGCATGGTTGGGTGCCATAGCTGTGATGTTTAAAACCTAAGGTTTCCATCTCCCTTAGATTCACTTCTCTCCTGGGAGCATGTAGAAGGCCTTGAGGGAATGGGTAGACACAAAGATAAACCCCAAATGCTACAGATTTCCTGGCTAAGAACATGAGACCTGGATTCTGGTACTAGCTCTGCTAGGCTTGCAGTGGTGTGGCTGTAAAAAAAAGTATTGTCCTCATTCTGTTTCCACCACTGGACAATGGGATCTGTAGTCACTTTTGCCTCAGACACTATGCTCCACCCATACATGGGATTGTGTTTTGATGTCACTTCCACTCAGCTTTCTCCTTCTCTTCCTTGCTTTTCTTTGCCCACCAAATAGATCAATAAATTATGTAAGGGCTGGTTGATAATGGACTGCTGATGGGCCAGGCTTCTGCAGAGTGCTTCTGCAGAGCAAGAGCTCGGACCCTGAACTAAGCAGCTGTGGCTGGGAGTTGGAGAATCAAGTCACTATCTTTAGTTAAGTGTCTGTAATTGCCTAATTTGTTCTTCGTGCATTCCTAGGAGAGAAGCTGGTAGGCAGAGGAACCTGCTGTTTAGGAATTTTCCTGGGTAGATAAGGGGATACTTTGGAAATTGGGTTAGATAAGCTTTTTATCTGTCAGAAGGAGCTATTTTCTACTGGGCTTATTCCCAGGAAACAGCATTTCAGGGTCTTATTTAGCATCCCAGTGCTGAAGAAGGATTAAAATTAGAAACACCAGAACTTGGGCTGAAACTTATGGCAGACTTAGGGTCAGGAAGCTGCACTGTGTTCCTGGTTCTGGCATATGCTGGCTTTGATCAAAGCACACACTGTGTTCTCTGAGCTTGATGTTTAGTCTAATTAACCTTTAGAATGGAATGTCAGCATTGCTTGTCTTTCAGGGCGGGGCTAATCAGTGAGATGATACAGGTGGAAGTTCAGTGAACCTGGGATGTCCATACAAATGTAAAGTATTACTGTCAATTTCTCAGTCTCTGTGATGAGGCCTAATTCACAGGGCAAGAGAGGAATTTGGGTTTTTTTTTTCTGCTTAGCTCCCCAGGTAATCTCATTAATACCCTCTAACTCCAAAAACAAACAAACAAAAACTAAAACAAAACCCAGCAACAACAACCCCCCCCCCAAACCAAAACCCTCTAACTCCCAGTCAAATAGAAAAGATAGGTTTGAGGGAAATACTATCTCTGCTAGGAGGACATCTCAGCTTGCTTTCCTCCGTGACAGTTCCTCACTTAGAAAAACTTTTCCTTGGCTAAAAATTCTATTCCTTCTACTCTCATTTCCAAATTCTGGGGACAGTGGAGGAAGAACTCTTTTCTACTTGAGCCCCTCAGCTAAAGCCAACCAGATATCCTTTCCTCCCTGGAGGAAGACTGAGCTTCACAGGCCTGCAAAGGGTTAAGTGAGCCACACCCTCAGCCTTGGACTTTGTGCTGAGCAACCGTCTCTCCAGCCTCTCCTGGCCTGACTGGCACAGGGAGCCTGGGCTGGAAGAGGCAGTGCAAAGGAACATCTGAAGAGTGGACACTGGCAAGAGGAAGGTGGCCTCTTTTCTGGTTTCCCTGACACCATGGACAGCTCCCACTGACTAAGACCACTTCAACCTTCATGTCTGGGGCTTCTGTGCCCCCTCTGTCAAACTGGGATTTCATCTACCTTTCTTCAAGGGACACTGAATTCACATCCTCATTCCAGTGCTGGGTGAGTCCTGCTTTGACCTGTCACTGCTCCTCTTTTCTCCTTTTCCCCTTCCCTGCCCCCAGCTATTCCCATTCCCATTCCTCTCAACTCTCAATCCCAAAATCCCTTCTCCCAACCCACTTTCTGCTTACTTTCCCTTGCCAAGTTACTTCAAAGATTTCACTTTTTTTAAAAATCTGAAAACATGAGATAATAATAGTACCTGCTTCACTGTAAGCATCAAATGAATTAGTATCTACAAGGTGTTTAAGGCCCTGTCTGGCCTGTGGTAAATGCTGTGTGATGTCTAGAGACTGCTTTTATTGGTTAGTCTTACTGCTTCCTCAATTTTGTCTTTCCAGGAAGTTACAGGAGCTTGGGGAAAGCAGAATGAGGGGAGAAGGGAGCCTGTATCCCCGCTTCTTGCCCTACCTTCCATCGCTCCTTTCTGCCCTCCCCCACCCAGGTTCTGAGATGCAGGAGAGTGAGAAAGTGTGCTTCTTTTATTCCTGTTTGGGAGTGGCATTAAGCATTGTACCAATAAGTCTGATCCATAACTGGTCACTCCGCCTATGTAGTTCCACTGGAAAGCCTGCGGGGGCTGGGCTTTCTCCTGAGGAAACACCTGCCATGTGCCTCCAGCACATGGGCCCCAGCACCGCAGCCCTCCCCCTCAAAAGTTGGGTGTGCCCCTCTGGACAAAGTCTGTGCCAGAAGTTTACAGGAATGGGTATAAAGGCTGGAGATGGGAAAATAGGGACAGGAGTGGAGGGCATCCAGAAGCTCAGACAGCTATTTATTAGTTGAGGAAACAAACTCCACTTTTATTTTACAGAGGATTCCTGTCTCTGTTCTCTAACTTATCACCTTGCTCAACCCCTATTTAAACGTGAAGCTTACAATAGCAATCACAGGGAAGGAGAGACCTCTGAAAGCACTGAGGTGGGTATAGGGGCTTGGTTTTTTGTTTGTTTTTTTTTGGAACAGGTCTCCCTATGTAGCCTAGGCTGGCCTTGAACTCATGGCAATCCTGCTGCAGCCTCCTGAGTGCTAGGTGCATGAGCCACCACTCCCAGCTGGGTCTAGGGGTTTGAGATGGCTAAAATAGGGGCTGTGAGAAGTAGGGATAGACAAGAGCACCAGGGTAAGTAGCCAGGGCTTTTGGATGCTGGCTAGAGCCTCAGAACAAAGCAGGAGGGGGAACTTTCTATACCTGGCTGTGACGTAAAGCTTGGCTCACGCTTTCCGCCTCAGCCTTCTCTCCTTGAAGCAATTCTACTCCCCCATTGCTGCCTACTGGGTACTGTCCTTCTCCAGGTGGTCAGAGGTAGGTAGTTCTCTCCCCTACCCTGGGTAACAGAAGGTTCCCTGCCTCCTGCTGAGAGATTTGGTTCCCTGCTTGGGCTGGCCTGGTACAAAAGCTCTTTTAGGTTGGGGGCTCTCGGTCTTTCTTCCCTCTTCCCCTCACATGGTTAGTGACATTTAAGCTGAGCAGATACCAGAAAATTGCTCCTTTTACTCCCAGGATATGCAGCCCCTCAACATGTCTCTCACAGAAGGTTCTGTGGGGGTAGAGGACCTTGTCCTCCTGGAACCCCTGGAGGAGGTGTCTCTTCTCAAGAACCTTCAGCTTCGCTATGAAAACAAGGAGATTTATGTGAGTGTACTGTGGGTATGGCTGGCTATGGGTATATTGGGAAAGTCCACATTTTCCCCCTCATTCCCTTCACCTTCCTGGTTCCAGACCTACATTGGGAACGTGGTGATCTCAGTCAATCCTTACCAACAGCTGCCCATCTATGGCCCCGAGTTCATTGCCAAATACCGAGACTATACCTTCTATGAACTAAAGCCCCATATGTGAGTAGAAGGCCCCTGTTTTGTGACAATGAAACATTCTGATTTCCTCTATCCCTCTCCCTAAAGTGTTCTCCAGCTGCCACCTCCTCTCCAGCCTTCTGGAGGCCTCTCACTAGGTCTGTTGCTTCTTACCTAGTCTGGTCCATGTGGGGAGAGTGGATGAACCTAGAGCTAGAGACTAAGTGAAAAATGGTATCTTGGACTGGCCCCACTAATCATTGCCCACTTCTTCCCTCAAGCTATGCTTTGGCAAATGTGGCTTACCAGTCACTGAGAGACCAAGACCGAGACCAGTGTATAGTCATCACAGGCGAGAGTGGAGCTGGGAAGACGGGTGAGGAACCTGGCTGGGGAAAGCCATAGTCACCTCTGGAACACCACCTTGTGTTTTCCCTAGCCAGGCCTTGCCTACCCAGTTTTTCTGATTCTGAGGGATGTGCCTTGCTGGGGGAGAGGAGTTAAGAAGCGGGGCTGGGGATGGGTCAGCCATGGGTGGGTCTCTGTGAGGGGGATTCTCTGTGCACAGAGGCTAGCAAGCTGGTGATGTCTTATGTGGCTGCCGTCTGTGGAAAAGGGGAGCAGGTGAACTCTGTGAAGGAGCAACTGCTTCAGTCAAACCCAGTGCTGGAGGGTGAGGATCCTGATCTCTGCTCTCTCCATTCCTCCCAGTCCTCAGCCCCTAGAGTCACTTGTTCCCAGTGCTCCAAAACCACTGCTCCCTTTCTGAGATTGGCATGAGGACTGGAAGAACCCCCCCACCCAGGGCTTTTCTTCCCTTCTCAGAGTCTCATCTCTCCCCTCAGCCTGGCTCACTTCCCCTCTCCTCCTTTCTGCAGCATTTGGCAATGCCAAGACCATTCGCAACAACAACTCCTCTCGATTTGTGAGTGAGCATGTTCCAGCTTGGGAGGAGAGGGGTTGGGGCTGAGACAAAGGGGTGCAGCACAGACCCCTCCTGACAGGGCTGCAAGAAGAGGAAGAAGCAAAGTCTTTCTCTGGTCTCTCTCTGAAGGGAAAATACATGGATATTGAGTTTGACTTCAAAGGATCCCCGCTTGGTGGCGTCATCACAAACTGTACGTGTCTCCCCGAGACTACTCATCAACTTTCTCTTCCCCCTTCCCAGTGACCTTCCCTGCTCATCTGCCCCTGTAGGAAAGAGGAACATTAGACTTCAGGAAATTTCCTAAATGCTAGGAACACCGTGGCTGAGGGCAGAATTAGTGGGACACTGCAGTACCTCTCAGGCCCTCAGGAGGTTACTTTCTAACTCTTTGCCAGATCTGCTTGAGAAATCCCGAGTGGTGAAGCAGCTCAAAGGGGAAAGGAACTTCCACATCTTCTATCAGCTACTGGCTGGAGCAGATGCAGAGCTGCTGAGTATGTGCCTGCCCTGGACATACGGCAAAGCATTCCTAACCTCCATTCCATCCCTAGAACCTTGGGCTCCTCTGGGCCCTGCAGCCCCCTTCCCTTGACCCCCTGAGATTTCTCCTTGCTGGTATTCCTCACTTGGGACCTCAGAACCCATTGCTGGGAACAAATCTCAACCCCTCTGCTCTATTCCTTTCCTGGGATTGGTTGCTAGGGATGTGCCTTTCTTGCCTCTCCACTACACTCATTGCTCTGTTCTACATGGGCTCCTCTTTCTCCAAGCTGCTTTAGACATAAAACACTCATCCCCATCTACCTTCATCTTACTTCCACTTTAAGAGGCTTTATTCGGGCCAGAGATGTAGCTCAGTGGCTCTTTGCCTCCCTGGTAAGTGCAAGGTCCTGAGTTCGATACCCAGTACAAAAAAAAAAAAGCTTTATTGACAGTTCAGTGGAGAAGGCAGGATGTTGTGTTAAAGGAGCTCTAGTTGAAGCTGTCTTGGGCTTATCTCTGCCTCACTTGGACCCTGTCCCTGACTTTCTTTTCTTAGACCATTCTATGGAGGTTTTATTGATTCACTCATGTGTCTACTGTGAGTATCTACTATGATACACATTATGCTAGCCTCTAGGGATAGAGTTGAGTAAAATACCAACTCTGTTCTCAAAGAACTCACAGTCCCTAGTATGCTTCTAGGGACAGCAGATGTGTGAACATATAGACTGAAATACAGTATGATTGGTGCCTTAGGCCTGTGTAGGTAGGTACAGGAGCAGAAGGCATGGAACCCCAGCCTGGTTGCTGGCCTGGCCCGAGCTGGGCTGGCCTTAGGTGGGTATCACTGCAGTAAGGTGGGACTGAGACCCACTTAGAGTTTGCCTCTCAATCTCCCTTCTAGCTCTGAGAACCATGGGTTTCTGGCCCCAAGGATCTGTCCCTTTGGTTTCTTGTCATTCCATGTTGAGCCTGTGCCTAACTGCTTTTCCCCGCCTGAAGACCTCCAGAAGGTGGCAGAATCCCCGTGGGTCTTGTCTTCCTTCTAGACTTCGTAGTCTAGTCATGTTTATTTTGTCTGATCATAGGTATTTGTGTCTTGTTCTGGCTGGTTCTGTCCTCTATTGGTTTAAACGGAATCTGGGTGGGATCTCCCGGGTGTCATTATCCCTGGGTGTTCTGACTCATTCTCACTCCATGTGCCCTTCTTTAGCAGACTCCTGTTTCAAAATGTGTGTGCTAGAGGGAGCTGCCATTAAGCTCTAGCTTGACGCGTGCTCCCCAAATCTCAGATCATTTTCACAAAAGATAATTGGCATCCCTCAAGTTCCAAGATTAGACCAATCCCTCACACCTTAGGCAGACAGCTTTGAACACATTCTTGATTCATTTAAAATGAAAAAGCTTGTTTGCGAGCCATGTATACAGAATATGGAGATAAGAACCACAGTTCCATCTGGGAGTGGTGGTTCATGTCTGTAATCCCAGTAGGGGAGGCTGAGTCATGTCTGTGAGTTCAAAACCAGCCTGAGCAATATAGTAAGACTCCTGTCTAAAAAAAAAAAGACAGTTCTAACACAAAAGTTGCTCATGTGTATGATAGACAAAATAAAATGTAAACCTAGCCAATGTGATACAGGCTGGGACAAAGATTCAATGCAGAGGAACATAACCATTTAGCCCAGCTCCTCAGCATCACAGACACATACCTTCTAAAATTCACAACTTGCTTTTTTTTTGGTACTGGGGATCAAACTTGGGACCTTGCGCTTGCAAGGCAGGCGGCGGAACCATTGAGCTAAATCCCCGGTCCAAGACACACACCTTCTAGAAGGGGTGTTAAGGTCAGAGAATGCACTATCTGCCACTTTGTTGGTGCTTGGTGAACACATAATGAATGAGTCCCCCAGGGCAGGGGGAATGAGGTGTTGAGGCTGGGGGTGGGTGGGACCTATGTGTTCACTTTTCTTGCCTTACCTTCATTCTCTCAGAGGCACTGAGACCTGAGCAGGGTAGAGGGTTTATTTGACTGTTTTTACTGTTTTAGAACTCAGAGGGTGGGTGGAAAGAAGAGTCAAAAGAGGCTTTTCTTTTAGAAAAGTTTTGAGAAAACTCAACAAGTGTGAACACCTAAACTCTAAGTACTGTTTAAAAATGTAGTCTGTCATCATGGGAATTAATGATCCCCAAACAAAAGAGATCTATAACATAAAAGAAAGGATCTATAACATAAAAGAAAGAATCTACATCAAAAATGCCTCTGTCAAATAAAGGAATGAACCCAGATAGGGCAAGGGAGGGGAGATGTCAAGGCTGGAAGGCTTCAGAGAGCTGAATGCTAACCCTCTTTCCATGCTGACTCTCCCAGAGGCCCTGAAGCTTGAGCAGGATACAAGTGGTTATTCCTATCTGAACCACGAAGTGTCCAGAGTGGATGGCATGGATGATGCCTCCAACTTCAGAGCTGTACAGGTGCGCGACAAGTGTGGGCAGATTTGGGGTATCCCCTGAGTCCAGGCTTTGAGTTTGAGAAGGGAGGCATTGGGCTGGTACCACCATTTTAGATTAATTTCTGCTTTTTCCCCAAGAATGCAATGACAGTGATTGGGTTCTCTAAAGAGGAAATTCAACAAGTACTGGAGGTGACAGCTTTGGTCCTGAAGTTGGGGAATGTGGAGCTGACTGATGAGTTTCAGGCCAATGGGATACCAGGAAGTGGGATCCGTGATGGGAGAGGTTCGTGCCAGCCTGATGGAGCCCCCACCCTGAATCTCCTACTTTGAGTCCTATTCTTCTACAATTTCCAGAGTAGTCAACTTCACCCTGATGCAGTCCCACTCAGACCACTTCTGAGTTCTCCCTCAGTAGGCTCATTAAGAACTCCCAATGATGCACACTGGAATGAGATTTTTGAAATTTGATGGATCTGGATTTTGGATTTCTCCAGTCTTAGTTGATTCTTCTGCATATGGGGATAACACACCTGCTTCAGGAGATTCTCGTATTAAAGTAGGCAGTGCTCACCAAGTGCCTAGATCTCCCTTTTCCCTTAGCCCTCTGTTCTTCTATGGTGGTGTTTTGGGTTAGTGAACAACTTCCCAGTGAGACCCAGGGCACCAATCTTCCTGGCACCTTTGCTTATCTGTGCCCTCATGTTCCCTGCCATTGAGACAAAGCCCCCTCTCCAGACATCTTGAATTTCCTCATCATTCTAGGTGTTCAGGACATAGGAAAGATTGTGGGTTTGAATTCCAAGGAACTAGAAAGAGCTTTGTGCTCAAAGACCATGGAAACAGCCAAAGAAAAGGTGGTCACTATGCTGAATGTTATCCAGGTAAGGACCCTTCTGAAGGGGGCTTACCCTGAGTCTGTTCTGTGGCTTCCACACTAAGTTCTTTCCCTCACCCAGGCTCAGTATGCTCGGGATGCTCTGGCTAAGAACATCTACAGCCGCCTCTTCAACTGGCTAGTAAATAGAATCAATGAGAGCATCAAGGTGAGCAATTGCCCTGTTGCCTCAGTACCTTCTGCCTGCTCCTCTGTCACTCTGGCTACCAACTCCATTCCTTGGTTTCTGACATGAACAGAGAGAGGAGGATGAGTGGGGTGGAACAAGTCATTCTAGTAGTGAATTGTGGAAACATCATTGATGTTTGAGTTCAAATCTGATCCATCTATTTTTCAGTCATGTGGTCTTTGAATTTCAGATCCTAAGCCTTGGTGTCCTAATTTGGACATGCCCACTAAAACATTAATGTCTACCTACTTCACAGGGTTTAATGCAGATCAGATAAAAACAATATGTATATGGTTATCACATGATCCAGCAATTCCCTAGGCCTGCATCCAACAGAACTGAAAACTGATGTCCTCTACAAAAAATTTGTGTACATTCATACAAGCATTATTCATAATAGCCAAAAGGTAGAAGCAACCCAAGTATCCATCAGCTAAATGGATAAGCAAAATGTCTATCTGTGCAGAATTATTTGACCATAAAAAGGAATGAAGTCCTATTACATGCTACAAAATTGATGAGTTTTGAAAACATTGTGCTGAGTAAAAGAAGCCCATTACAGAAGACTACCTTCTGTATGATTCATATGAAATGTACAGAATATGCAAATCCATTGAGGTAGGAAGTGGATCAATTATTGCCAGTGACTGGGGCAGAGGAATGGGGGAAAAACTATTAATGGGCACCAGAATTCTTTTTTTTTTTTTTTTTGGTACTGGGAATTGAACTCAGGGCCTCATGCTTGCCAGGCAAGCACTGCACTGCTGAGCTACATCTCTGGCCCTGGAATTCTTTTCTTTGAGTAATGAAAATACTCTGGATTCAATAGTGGTGATGATTTTACAACATTTCAAATAACTAAAATGAGCCACTGAATTATACATGGTATGTGAATTATATCCAATAAAGCTATCATTTGTTCATTTTCTTGGTGCTGGGGATTGAACCCAGGTTCTTTTTTGGTTTTTCTTTTTTCTTTTTTTTTTTAGACAGAGTCTCGCTATGTAGTTCGGGCTGGGCTTGAACTCACTATGTAACCCAGGCTGCCCTTGAACTTGATTACAGGCATGAACAACCACGCCTGGCTAAACCGAAGTCTTTGTACATGCTAAGTGTGTGCTCTGTCACTAAGCTACAATCCTGGTCACAAGCAGTTATTAAATAATTATCTACATGAAAGTGCTATCTATATAAAGGCTATTACTGATAGGCAGCAAGATAAGATGGAATTTGAATTTAGACTGGGGTAAATGCTTTTTCTTTTTGGTGTTTTTTTTCATCTGTGAAATGGAAATAATCATGCCTAATATGATTATGATTATTAAATGACATGGAATTTTTTGTAGTGCTGTACACTGCAGGGATGGTTATTATCCTGAGAGAATTTTTTTTTGGTACGAGGGGTTGAATTCAGGGCCTTTGCACTTTTACAGCCCTTAAAAATTTTGTTTGTTTTTGTTATTTTGAGACAGGATCTCACTAGTGAGGTGTCCAGGCTGGGAACCTGTCATCCTCCTGCCTTAGTCTTCTACAGTGCTAGGATTACAGGCATGTGCTATCACTCCCAGATGAGAGGATTTTAATGTTTTTCTACCTCATACCATGGGCAAACCTTTCTGGCATTTATTTGAATCTTCCTTTTCTTCTTTCCTCCTCTGCTTGTCTTGTAGTAAGTATATAGAGGGGAAAAGAGAATAAGACACCATACTTCCAGTTTGTTCAAGCTCACTCTAGTTCTGGTTGCCCCTGCTCTGACCCTATTTGACCCTGAAGACCCTGGCCTTGTATGCATAGGGGGCCTGTCCTCAGATTTATCCTCTCTTCTTCAGGTGGGCACTGGGGAGAAGAAGAAGGTAATGGGAGTCCTAGATATCTACGGCTTTGAGATACTGGAGGTGAGAGAGCCTCATCCAACCTCAGCAGCCTGCTTCCCTAAGAATTGGGGGGGAGGATTACAGCGGGTGTGAGAGAGGGGAGGAAGGGCTAAAAGGGAGGAAGGGTCTTATGTGAGCTGGTATTTCTCTTTGATTCTCAGAATAATAGCTTTGAACAATTTGTGATTAACTACTGCAATGAAAAGCTACAGCAGGTGTTCATAGAACTGACCCTGAAGGAGGAGCAAGAAGAATATAAGAGAGAGGTAAACTAACCCTTTTCCCACCCCCTCTTAAATGACTTCTAGACTTATGCCAAATCTTTTCTCTTTGATCACAACTTCCAGAAGGGAAGACAAAGGAAACAATTTCCCTTGCTCAGCTGAGCATTACGCATTCCTAAGCAGCCCTAATGGTCTGCTCTCCATCCTCTGTGTCACCCGCTTCCCACTCCAGGCCAGGCTAGGAGACAGATTGATGGAAGGGTGTGTGTGGAGAGGGTTCTGACAAGAGAGAAGTGACAGTTGTGCTTGGCCTATGGCAGACTATGAGTCGAATTTAGAAGGGACATTTCTCCTGGGCTTGGTACCCTACCGCATCCCTTTCTGTGGTCTTCTCCAGCATCTCAGAATGTTCTGTTTCCTCTGGCACTGGCTGATGTTACCATCCCCTTCATGGCACCCTGATCCCAGACTTCCTCACCAGAAGTGCCCCATGGCTCCAACTTGCCACACTCTTTCCCTGATTTGGTGCAAACCTCTGTTTTTTATGGCTAGGTGTTAGAAAAGCTCTCTGATTAAGCGAATCCACCCCAAAGTGTGAGTGGTTGAGAGTCTCACTCATCTAAACCCTCCCAGGGATATTCCCTTATGAGCTGTGAGGCATCAGTTGTGGCAGAATTTCAGGCAATATTGTCACTATGTGTGGAAGAGTTTTTCCAGTTGTTTTGCACACTTTAATTTTAACAATTTAAATTATCAAATATATAAAACATTTCCATGCTTCAAAATTCAAAAAGCTTCAAAAGGTATAGATATAAAAATCTTCTTTCCATCTCCGCCCTCAGCCTCCTAGTTTTCCTCCCCACCCCAGAGACACCCAAGGTGGGCTTTCTTCCAGATTTCTTTTTATGTGTATTTAAGTGGATATGTAAATGTATTTTTCTATAAAATTTATACAAAGGGCAGTAAATACACTCTGTTCTGTGTCTGATTATCGTCACTTAACAAGAGATCTTCCCATATCAGTATATAAAGATACTTTTTACAGCTGCATTAAATTATAAGGATATCATAGTTCATTTAACTGGTTGGGGAAGAAGATGAAGTGGGAGGTCAACTTCATATAATTTCATTCTACTTTCTGTAAAGACCTCTGAGGGAAGAAGGAAAGAAAGGCTTGTGCTCTCCAAGCATATATAAGAATGCTTCGGCTTGGGAGGTTTGGCCCTTAAAGCAGGGATTAGGAACTGTACTGTCCTCAGGCCTACTGCTCAGCAAGTCCCCAAGCAGAGATTTCTTTGGGTCTTCTTTTTCTGTATCATTCTTACATATATTTATTTATTTTAAAATTAATTTTATTGGTACATTTTAGGTATACAATATAATGACATTCATCATTGGAAATTTGCACCTTTACATAATCTCTCTTGGTTCTTATTTTTTCCCCATCCCCCCCCCCCTTCAGCCCCTCCATCCCCATTTACAAAGACTTTGTTTCCATTTTTTCATTTTCTCATCTTATCTTCTATATCTGAAATTCTGTCCTCACATTAGCTTATTCTGCTGGGTAAACTTTTTTTTTTTTGGTACCGAGGATCGAACTTGGGTCCTTCCGCTTGCGCAGCAGGTGGCGAAACCACTGAGCTAAATCCCCGGCCCTCTGCTGTGTAAACTTCTGATGGAGTTTTTAATCTGGAAATCTGTTTGCATCTGCTTTATGGATTCCATTTGTTTCCTTTGTTGGGATTCCATCATGTTCCCCAGCTCCTCTATTTTTTAATCTGTGTCCTCTCTAGATTTATTAATCATGTCTTGCACTATGGGCACAATCTCTGCTGTTATCTGAGAAATTATTTCTGATTTCATTTTTTCCAGATCCTCTTTTGTTGCCAGTTCAGGGAGTCCAGGTGGTTGAGTATCAGATTGTTCCATCTCATTTCCCTTTGGGGTTGCTGTAGGTGATCTGGAAGTCTGGTTTTGAGATTTGTTTACGTGTCTTCTCATTTCAAGGGGGGGTTGTGTGTGTGCTGCTGGCGCCCACGCGGCTCACCTCCTTGGTGCTGGGGGTGGTCGTATGGCTGCCCAGAAAGCTCGCCTTCTAGGCACTCATTCATTTATTTATTTACTGTGGTTTGGAGACAGGGTCTTGGTATGTGGTTCAGGCTGGCCTTGAATTCACTATGTAGCCCAGGCTGACCATGAAATTACAGTGATCCTCCTGCCTCAGCCTCCTGAATACTGTGGCTACGGGTGTGCACTACCACTCTCAGGTTCTCACTTTAATAAAGTTATACAGTCTCAAAGTATGGTGTAGTTCAGTGGTTCTTAAAGTGTGGTCCTGGACCAGTAATGTCAGCATTGCTTGGAACATGTTGAAACTGTAAATTCCCAGGTGCCATGCCAGACCTTCTGAATTGGAAAGAGGAGTGCAGAGGGGAGGTGGGACTCAGCAATCTGTATTTTTAGCAGGGTCTTCCAGGTGATTGTTGTGCACTCTCAGATTTGTACATCACTGAGGTAGATCTTTGAAGATGCATGAAATTAGCTTTGTTTGATGATAAACTCTCCATAGTGTGCTCCAGTCTTATAGTTTATTGCAGATGTGGTGTGATCATTTATTTTTCCATGCATATAGCTCCTCCCCTGTCATACTGGGATAGTCTCTAACCCAACCTCCACCCAGCATACTATGCTTCCTTTCTACCCTATACCACCTACAGGGCTCTACATTGTCTCGGCTGCTCTCACAGGTGCTTGGGTTCTATATACCCACCCCAAAATACCCAAACTTGGAGGCATGGGGACATAAATAGAACCATACCAAGGACTCCTCTGAACTATGGGCCTTTCTGTGGTCCTTTGTGGAGGAGGTGAAAGGAAGGCTGTATCTGGTAAAGTCTTCAGAGACTTCATGTAGAACTGTTTCTGTAATTGCTGTCTCTCTATGCCAGGGCATACCATGGACAAAGGTGGACTACTTTGACAATGGCATCATCTGTAACCTCATTGAGCATGTGAGTTACTTTATCTTGCCTCTGGAATGTCCCTTTCCAAACTCCCTGAAGATCCTTCCCCCATCTCTCTCCTGACTATCCTACTTGTATAGGATGGAAAAGACAGGCAAAGGATGAAAAGCTCAAGGGGCAACAGTGAGACAATGGACATCTTGAAGTACCAGGTATATATTGCACTGATCTTGTTCCCTTGGCCCAGAATCAGCGAGGCATCTTGGCCATGCTGGATGAGGAGTGCTTGCGGCCTGGGGTGGTCAGTGACTCCACTTTCCTAGCAAAGCTGAACCAGCTCTTCTGCAAGCACAGTCACTATGAGAGCAAAGTCACCCAGAATGCCCAGAACCAGTATGACCACAGCATGGGCCTCAGCTGCTTCCGCATCTGCCACTATGCGGGCAAGGTGATGTATCGGGGCTGTAGGGCAAAGACTAGGGCTGAAAACAGTGGGGGAGGACCTGAGAGGAGGTGAGAGCTGAGAGTACTTTACAACAAGCCTGGGAGGGAGGACCAAGTGGTGGAAGACAGTCACAGGGGCTCCAAACCCGGTTGCTTCTCTACAGGTGACATACAGTGTAACTGGCTTCATTGACAAGAATAATGACCTACTCTTCCGAGACCTGTCCCAGGCCATGTGGAAGGCCCAGCACCCACTCCTTCGATCCTTGTTCTCTGAGGGGAATCCCAAGGAGGCCTCTCTCAAACGTCCCCCAACTGCTGGGGCCCAGTTCAAGAGTTCTGTGGCCATACTCATGAAGAACCTGTATTCCAAGAACCCCAACTACATCAGGTGACAAACTGGGCACACAGGAGACATGCTTCATATGTCAAGGCATTGCAGAGGCCATACACTGTAGGACGTGTCTGTGGGAGTGTGTGTGGAATAGGGTTCAGAGGCTATTTCCTCATGAAAAACAGCCAGGTGAGGAGCAGAGCATCCCATAGGTGGGTAGGGACGTGTTTCAGAATCATGAATGAAACTGGCAAGGCCAGTGTGTCCACTCCACTGAAATTTTCAACTAAGGGGACTATGTACAGAATAGGCGTCTGGAGACCAGGATGGTTCCACTGGTAATGGTGTCACCTCCTGAGGTCTGCGCCTTGCCCCACTTCCCACCAGGTGCATAAAGCCCAATGAACATCAGCAGCAAGGTCAGTTCTCCTCAGAGCTGGTGGTAGTCCAGGCACGCTACCTAGGGCTGATGGAGAATGTGCGGGTGCGACGGGCAGGCTATGCCCACCGCCAGGGCTACAAATCCTTCTTGGAAAGGTACCGATTGCTGAGCTGGAGCACTTGGCCTCGCTGGAATGGGGGAGACCGGTAAGACCCAGTGTGGAGACTGGGAAGCAGTAAAGGGCAGCGCAGGGAACAATTCTGGGAAGGACAAGGGGGAGCAGGGGATGAGCTGGCCTGCTGAAACCAGGGGAATGGGTACTTGGGGAAAGAAGTGATCATGTCCTGGAGCTGGAAGGTTTAGGTGAACATGCAAGAGGACTCTCTCCTGAGACTCCATCTTCCTCCCCTCTGCCTTTATAGGGAGGGTGTTGAGAAGGTACTGGGGGAGCTGAGCCTGTCCTCAGAGGAGCTGGCCTTTGGGAAGACAAAGATCTTCATCAGAAGCCCCAAGACTGTGAGTCTGAGAAAGCACTTGCATTTGGGAGGTGGGGTGAGAAAGAAGGCAGCAGCTATAGTCTGGGATGGACAGTGGGTGAGGCAGCTTCCTCTTGGCCGGCACTCCTCCCTTGAAACTATATTATCCGCCCCCCCCCGCCCCCCCCGCCTTGAGCTGAGGGAGTCAGGTGTGCTGCTCTCTCCTATTTGAGGGCCTTTACCTGAAGCAGAGCTCCTTGAGGACTGCAGTGATCAAATAAGATACTGGCTGGGAAGCCTCTGGTCCTGTGGGGTTCAGAAGAGAGCACTATTCCTGGAGGCCATGCCCTCTGCCTGACCTTTCTCTCTTCTGCAGCTCTTCTACCTGGAAGAGCAGAGGCGCCTGAGGCTCCAGCAGCTGGCCACCCTCATCCAGAAGATTTACCGAGGCTGGCGCTGCCGCACCCATTACCAGCAGATGAGGAAGAGTCAGATCCTTATCTCTGCTTGGTTTCGGGGCAACAGGGTACAGTCGTTACCCTCAAAGTCCCATCCCCTTCATTCTTACTAGAGTGGGAGAGATGATTCAGGATGTAGGTTTCTCTAAGAGCACCAATGTCCTCCACAGCAAAAGAAACAATACGGGCAGATGAAGGCATCAGCACTGCTGATCCAGGCTTTCGTGAGAGGGTGGAAGGTAATGGGGAGTGGGAGAGGGGCTTCCTCCCCACACATAGCTCCTCCTGGATTGTACCACCTGCTGGGCAAATCTTGTTGGCCCCCAGGCCACCCTTGTGTGATACCTGTGTTGGGGGTGTATGTCTGATTGGGCAGAAGGGCTCTGCTTCCCTCCTACTACAGTCTCAGCTCTTTAGCTTGTTTTGTTCCTTGTTAGTTGAAAATAGCTGAAACTGTTCTGGAATCTGTCTTCATTTTGGTTCCTGTCTTATATATTCATGCTAGGCTCGCAAGAATTATCGAAAATATTTCCGGTCTGGGGCTACCCTCATCTTGGCAAATTTCATCTACAAGAGCATAGTAAGTGTTGGGGGTGAAGGTAGAAGTGGGATGGGGTACAGGGGGTTGGGACAGGGGTGAAAGAGGAAGATATGACTCAAAGCTTTCCCCCAAGAGCTTCCTCAACTTGCTTGTACATACCTGGGTCCAGGAGGAGGCAGGATGAAACAGCGTGCAGGGAGCAGGCCCCAGTTGCCTCAGGCCCAGGGAGAATCAGACAGCATTTTTGCTAGTGTTTGCCACTGGAGACCTGTGGCATGGGGGCAGGGGTTGCCTCAGCACACCTACCATCTGGTCCATGGCATATAGACTGGAGGAGAGGTGGGCTGAATGTCTAACCACCTCATGAAGGAGCAGAGGGAGGACACACATAGGGTTAACCAGCCCGAACTTCCAAGATACATTTTGGGTGAAAATGGAGGGAATCTCCCTTCTATCTCCTCTGAAACCATAGCAGACCAATCAGAAACTAACGCTCAGGAAGACCTTACTCAGTTCTGGAGGATTTGGGTCAGGAAGGGCAGGAAGAAGGAGACCCAAGCCCACATGTTCAAACTGTAGGTGGTTTCCAGTGGGAGGAAAATAGGGGCAGAGAAGAGTGGTTTCTGGAGACACCTGTCAGATAACAATAGCACTTCTGAGAGGTGTCTAAGGGAAGCCAGGGACAGCGTAGCTCTACAGTGAAAGCTTGGAAAAGGCCGGAGAGAAGGAGGAACGAGCTGAAGGTCTCTACCAGAGGGCTGTAGTAAGTTATTACTGATTTCAGCTGACTGGAATTTTGGGCAGTTTTAGGGCCCTTATTAGTGTGCTCATTCAGACACAAGAAACCTTCATTTGGAACTCCTCTTTATTGTTAGAGACTCTGGGTTTCCCAGCTGACAAGAGCAATGGAAGTTTGGAAACTTAGGGTCTCCTCATTGCCTTCCCAGCCTTCATCTCTTCCTCCTTCTCCCCTGGGGTGGTGTGTGTGTGGGTTCCTTTTCTTTCTTGCCTGGCCTCCTTTCTGGCTGGCTCCGTTGTGTCTGCCTCCCCAGAATACGTGCTCTCTTGCAGCATACCTAAGGCCTGTAATCTGGTTTTGCACTTATCTCCTGATTGGCCCTTCCTCCGCTCTTTCTTTCACCTGTACTTTATCAGGCAACTGTCAAATGTCAACTCAGAAGCTGCTGGCTTCAGTCAGTATTTCGAAGTTAACACACACACCCCCGCCCCCAGCATGTAGAGGCCCTGAGCTTTGATTCCCACAGTGTTTCTTGATGATAACAAGGCTAAGTGCCCTTATGTGCTAAGGTTTTCAACAATTCTGTGAGATAGGTGCCCCCCCTCCCCCAGGTAGAAAACTGAGGCTCAGAGAGAATAAGTAACTTGCCAGGAGTCCCACAGCTGGCAAATGGTAGAGCTGTAACACAAATTATTTGACTCCAGAGCTTTTAATCCTAGAACAAATAATAAGAATGCCTTCTATACCAATTGGAGCAACAGAAGTTGTGGGCAATGCTTTGGAATGTCTGTTGAATTAAATCAAATCAGACTAAGGACTAAGGAGTACAGAGAGATGGGAGACCTCCTCAGGCCCAGATCCTGGGGGCAAGCTTCCTATAGAAGAAGCTACAAAAAGCTCGAGCAGGTCCTGTGGGTTATAGCAACATACTGTGTGCTCTTCCTTTTTCTATTTTAATTTTTTGTTTGGTTTTATGATATTGGGGATTGAATCCAGGGCCTTGTACATGCTGGGTAAGTGCTCTACCACTGAGTTACACCCCCAACCCTATTTTAATGTTTTTAACCTAATATTTTAACAAAACATTTTCGTAATAATTCCAAACATTTGGAAATGCCCAAGATCAAGTCATTTTCTATTATTGTCAATAATTCTGTGCCATAAATAAGCAAGGTTCTAGGTGCTCTTTAGGATGTACAAACTTTATAAAGTCCTTGTTCTAGACTGAGGAGGCTAAATAGATGCCATAGATGAAACTTGATGGCATCTTAGAACAGGAAAAATAAAAACAAAACTGAAGCTGGGTATGATGATGGATGCCTGTAATCCCAGCTACTTGGTAGGCCGAGGCAGGAAGATTGCAAGTTTGAGGTCAACCTGAGCAATTTAGCGAGACCCTGCCTCAAAAATAAAATAAAGGGCCAGGGATTTAGCTTAGTGGTTCCGCTACCTGCTTTGCAAGCACAAGGACCTGAGTTCAATGCCTGATACCAAAAATAAATAAATAAATAAATAAATAAATAAAAATAAAATAAAAAGTCTAGGAATGTAGCTCAGTGGTAAAGTGCTTGCCTGGTGTGCACAAGGCCCTGGGTTTAAGACCCAGAATCTCAAGAAACAACAACAACAACAACAACAAAAAATGAAGCTAAAAAGAGCATGCTCAAAAGTTTATCAAGGACATGTAAAGACATTTGAGTATGGATTGCTATTTTTTTTTTTTTTGGTACTGGGGATCGAACTCGGGTCCTTGCACTTGCACAGCAGGCAGCGAAACCACTGAGCTAAATCCCTGGCCCTGGATTGCTATTAAATGAGCGTATCTCACTAGTGTGGATTTTCTTAGGTGAGGCAATGGTGTTATTATTGTATAAAAGACTGCCCCAGTTCTTGGGAAATGCATGCTGAAGCCTTAGGGGAAAATGCTATGATATGTATAACATACTCAGGATAGAATGGTAGCAAGGGTGTGTGTCTATGTATGTCCATAAACACACATATGTGTTACAGGTGCTCATAGGAGACAGCTCACTGAGCAGAAGGTTAATGTTATCAGTTAGTGAATTTAGATGAGGGTTACACAGTATCCAGATGTTCATTGTGGTTTTAAAAAAAAGTACTCTGCAAGTTTCAAAACTTTCAAATTGAAAAATGGCTATACTTAAACAAACCAGTAAGTCAGGTTGTTATTCTCCTCCTTAAAGCCCCCAGTGGTGTTCCATTTCACCAGGATAAAAGCCTGCCATGTCCTCACCTCAGGCTAGAAAGCCCTTCATGATCTGACCCTGACCAATTCTATTCTTCGCTTGTCTTGGTCAACTCACTCTAGCCACACTGGCTTTCCTTATGTTTCTGGAACCTTTTACCACTCATTCCTGCCTCAGGGCCTGCTTCTTTGCATCACAGCAGATAGAATAATCTAGCATTGTATTATGTATTTATTTGCTTGTGATCTGTCCCTCACCCCCACCCTGGCTTCTTCATAGAATGTAAGCCCTCCATTCCTGTGTCCCCAAACCTAGAACAGAGCCAGAGAGATAATCAATGTTGAATGGTAAAAAAAAAATAAATTGGCACTTTGAGATCTTGAGTCCTTGACTACCTCTCTAGAAGAAGGAGATATTTTCATTCAAATACTTGCAATGCAAAGACTGAGATCTAGACAAAGTGGGATGGGGCTTCAGAGAAAGGAGAGGAAACTTATGACTTGGGGCATCAGGGAGGGCTTTAGCTGCATCGCCAAAAACAGGCAGAATCTAGGCAGGCAGGGTGAGCTACCAGAGCAGTGGGAGCTAGGCACAGAGAGAAAGTGGGTGGGCTGCATAGAGGGCATGGCAAGGGGTTCTGTCTAGTTGATTGGGGGTCGGGGAAAGGGTGCAGGAATTCTGTGCCATCACCTTGGGCTCTAAGTAGAGGACTTTGAGTGGTAGGCTGAGTTGTTAGATTGAACTGGTCAGAAGGGAGGACAGATTTGGTACCTGTCCATAGCCAACACATACAGTGACTGCCAACTGTAGGCACTTGTGAGCTGAGAGAATAGGAAGTAAGGGAGCTATTGAGACCAACTTTCACATTGGTTCCTCCCACCTCACTGCCCTGGGAAGCAGGTTTCCAGTTGGAGTTAATCCTTCTCTCCCTCCATGCTCCCATTCTTGCCCCTACCTTGTCGTCTTAAACTACATTTTACACTGACAGAGATCTAGGAGGAAACTCCCTTCCATCTCTTTGGCTCTGTTGCTGCTTCTCACTAGAGTGGGCTTTTTCCTTGCAAGTGGCACTGTCTGGGTATGAGTCTGCCTGCAAGGAAGTGTGTCTTCTTACCATTCCACTCCCAACCCAGGCACAGAAATTCCTGCTGGGCCTGAAAAACAATTTGCCATCTGCTAATATCTTGGACAGAAAGTGGCCAGCTGCCCCCTACAAGTGCTTCATCAGGGCTAATCAGGAGCTGCAGCAGCTGTACCACCAGTGGAAGGTGAGGCCACCAGCTCTTCTTCACAACTTAGTGCTTTGTTTCTTCTCTCTTATTTTCCTCTTAGGTTCCTTCTTCTATTCCCCCCATCCTCCCCCTTTTTTTTTATTGTGTTGAAATATATGTGACATAACATTTGCCATTTTAACAATTAAGTGAACAGTGGCATTAAGTACATTCACATTGTGTAACTGTCACCACCATCCATCTCCATATTCTTTTCTTCACCCCAAAGTGAAATTCCATACCATTAAGCACAAACTCACCATTCCCCCCTCTAATAATCTATAATCTACTTTTGGTTTCTATGAACTTAATTAACTATTGTAGGTACCTCCTATATGTGGGAATCATGTAATGCTTGTCCTTCTGTGTCTGGCTTATTTTACTTAGCCTAATGTCATTTGTTCTTCTATTCAAGGAATACTTGCTGAGCACTGTCTGGTCTCAGCCTTGCTGTGTAGGGGCACATGCCCCCGTGATGATGGTATTTGATAGTTTCCACTTCCCTCTTCAGCATGCCTTGGTTCTCTCCCTCCTCCTCAACACTCATCCACCCCCTGTCCACTCCTGAAATGCCTAGTGTCCCTTTCCCTCTGTTTGTCTTCTCCCTGGTGTCCTTTCTACTATGTCTCTCACTTCTCTCCTCAGTCCTGCCCTCCCACTCCATGATCTTAGTTCCTGTCCATCCCTCTTTGCAGTGTAAGAAGTTCCGGGATCGGCTATCTCCAAAGCAGGTGCAGATGCTGAGGGAAAAACTCTGTGCCAGTGAACTGTTCAAGGACAAGAAGGCTTCCTACCCCCAGAGGTTAGGTGCCCCAGACCCAGTAGAGCCAGTTTCATCAAGCAGTGGTTCTCAGTTTGAGCCTGTCTCAGAACCACCTAGCAGGACTGGGGACACTCAGGTGCTGTAGCCCTCTTCAGAGTCTGACTCGGCAGGTCTAGGTTGGCTCATCTCTGGTGATGCTGATGTTGGTCCTGGGCCACATTTGTGAACCTCTGACACAGAAGATATGAGGGACGGTGGAGGACAGGCCCAGAGGACTAGGATGGATCCTTGGGGTGGGAGCTGGGGATAAGGCACAGGGCCTTGTCCCTACTGCACAACTCCTGTGTATCCTCAGTGTCCCCATTCCATTCCGTGGTGACTACATTGGTCTGCAAGGGAACCCCAAGCTGCAGAAGCTGAAGGGCAGTGAGGAAGGGCCTGTTCTGCTGGCAGAGACTGTGAAGAAGGTCAACCGTGGCAACGGCAAGGTGAAAAAGGCCTGCTTTGCTGAGCTGCAGCTGCCCGCCTGGGGTAGGGATTAAGCCTGCCTGTCCTTACACTTTCTTGTTCTGTCTCATCCCTAGACTTCTGCTCGGATTCTCCTCCTGACTAAAGGGCATGTGATTCTCACAGACACTAAGAAGTCCCAGGCCAAAATTGTCATTGGGCTGGACAGTGTGGCTGGGGTGTCAGTTACCAGCCTCCAGGATGGGCTCTTTAGCTTGCATCTGAGTGAGGTATCAGAGCTGGATAGTGCAGGGCCTCTGACAGGAGAAAGGGGTGGGCATCGTGAGGTTGGGGCAGGCTGGAGTTGCTGGGACCGGATCTTTCACTCTGGGCCTTTGATGTCCCTCAGGCTGCTCCTGAGGAACGGGGTGGGGGTGGGGCGGGGATCACTTCCCTGCTATTTTTCCCTCTTTCCTAAGATGTCATCAGGAGGCTCCAAAGGGGACATCCTGTTGGTCAGTGACCATGTCATTGAACTGCTGACAAAAATGTACCAGGCTGTGTTGGATGCTTCACAGAGGCAGCTTTCTGTCACCGTGACTGAGAAGTAAGGCCATGAGCTGGTGGTGAGGGGCAGCTTGGGGCAGATGACTGGGCCAGTGGTCACTGTGACCAGGAAGATTCATACAATCAGAAAGTGAAGCATACTATGTCGGGGCGGGGCTTGGAGGTGTTCCCTATCTTACCATCCAAGTTCTCTGAGGCCTTGAGCCATCTGACTAGGTGGGAGGAATGTACCATGTGCTAGTTTTTGGGAGAGGTGGGGAAGCCATCATGGGGCTGCAAGAGTTGGGGTAAGGGGATGGGGCACTAGCTTTGATTTTTCTGTTTATTACCCCTCCAGGTTCTCAGTGAAGTTCAAGGAGAGCAGTGTTGCTGTCAAGGTCACCCAGGGCCCTGGGAGTGGTGGGAACGGCAACCTAATTTGTAAGAAGAAGGGAAGTCATTGCCTGGAGGTGACTGTGCAGTGAGGAGATGGGGGCCTCTTGCAGAGACGCACCTTCTTCTGGACCAGCACTGTCCCCCTTTACCCTCCTCCTTGTGAGGCTTGGAAATGGAAGAACCCTTGAAGAGGACCTTTCTTCTCCCCAACCCTTCCAGTCCTCTCCTCCCATCTCTTTGCCCACTAATAAAACATTCAGTTCTGAAATGTTTGGTCAGTGTGCGCGGGCCTGTCTCCCCGTCTCCTCACCCAGCTGCATCTGGATCCCCCTCCCCCATACCTTTTCCCTTTCCTCGGGTCCCTGGGAGCCAGCTAGTACAGATAATCAGAAGGGCAAAGAAGGGAAATTGTCTCTGGACTTCTCGACCGGCTGAGCTCTGTCAGGGTTTAGAGAGACTGGGGTGGGGGTGGGGGAGTCAGGGACAGGGCTCAGGTCGCAGGTGGCCAGTGGGCTGATTCATTAAATGTGTCCCTGGAGGGAAGAAGTGAGGATCCCCGACTTGGCAGAGATTGGGGTCCATTGGAGATTTCGCCTGAAAAGAGGCCCAAGGCCAGAGAGCTCCTGCGAGCCGAGGTGAGCTGGGGAATGAAGGGTCCCGTGTCTAGGAGCTCTGCCACCTCTCCATCCCCAAGCTTAGCACTGGGCTGCATTCCACCTGCCTCCTGGCACCACTTTCCTTTCCATATACCTGAGATGCCAGGCTGCTGCCAACAGTTTCTTGCTAATCGCTGTTCCAGAGCTGGGGCCTGTAGCTGGTGGCCCTTGACAGAGGCAGGCTCCCTCACCCAGACTCTCTCATCCCTATGACTCAACTCCTTTGCTCTGGTCTTCATGTATTTTCTTTGTATCATTGTCATTATCTTTTTCTGAGTCTACAACTGTCTCACACGATCTCATCGTCGCTATTTGCGTGGACTCTGACTAATATTAATACGTGATATTTTGTAGAATGCTTTATATCTTTTTCCACTTCCCTTCATATCTATTTCCTCATAGACTCTGTCTTGTCATCCTGGTTTCTGCCTTTGGGGAAATCACGCTCATAATATTCACGGTGAAATTTAGTTCTGCAGTCTAAGAGAGCGTACAAAGGGCTGCCTTTGTTGCCAGGTCTTCCTTTCACAACATCCACCTTCCCTGCCTCCTCTGCCAAGCTCTGAGCTATCTGTGCCCTGAGGCTGGGGTCTCCCTCACCTTGTTTCCAGCTTCTAGATTCCATTAGCAGTCAGCTCACGGCCCCAGCTAATCATGCTAGCAGGGAGACCTGGTTAACTTCTTCCTGCCTGCAGATTACTATTGCTTTCTGAGCACAAGTCCCATGTTTGGGCATACTCTGCTCCAGCTGAGATAGGACCAGGCTGGTGAGGGGCTCGAGCCTCTGTTGTGGAGCATGTGTTTAGAGGAAGGGTGGTAGCTCAAGCTGTAGCCGGCCTCCCTCTACCCTTGACAACTCCCCCATCCTTGACTTCTCAGAATCAGGCTGAGAAGATCCGGTCTGGCCCAGAAAGGCGGGTGTGCGGTGGGTGACCTGAGCCTGATCGCCTCCGCTCTTTGCCTCATCTGCTCCCAGGGCCCAAATTGTCGTCACTTTCCCAGTGAAGTGTCTGGTCATTTTCAGAAGCAATTTCAGGAGAAAATGCAGCTGCTGCTCCCTATCCTGCTTTTCTTTTCCAGTGGCTGAGGGCTCTGTCAGCTCCCTGAGTGGGGGTGGGAGAGAGGAGGGCTAAGTTATCTCCTTCCCTGAGTCACAGAGATAGATGCTAGTTTAAGGAGCTTTTCCCCTCTGTCTGTCCCTTCCTTCCCCTCTTTCCTGTCTGCTTTTCTTCTCTCCTGAAGCCCAGGAGCCTGGTGCCTGTTGGGCACAGTTTCCCCACTGTGTCACAAGGTTTGAATTGGCTTTCTCACCACAAGAGAAGGGGGAGTTTTGCCCCTTGTCCTCCTCTCCCAGCCCTCTTCCCCCTCACCTGTCCAGCACTCTCAAAGTGTAGGTTCCAGCCTTTGAGGGACACAGGCCATCCTGGACTCCCCTAACTCCCACAAGAAGCCACTCTACCATCTCAGAGCTTAAACTGTCTTTGGCATGGTCCTCCTGGCTCAGTCCACTTCTTCCCCAGCTCTGAGGGCTCTCTTCATTCCTTCCTGCTCTGTGGGTTGTCTCCAGCAGGCCCCGACAGATGCTGCCATCCTATTCTTTTCTTGTATCTGCACCCATTGTCACATGTGGGCCTCACCCTGGCTCACCCTCAGCACCTCTCTGGGATGGCAAGGGTGTCCACAGGTGAGCAGATGGTAACCTGTGAGGGTCATACTGTGTGCACAAGCATGGGCTGGGCCTGCCTCTACCTCTAACCCCCAGAGAATGGCTGACTAGCCTGTCTCATCTCAGCACAACTGTGTATCTTTTTCTGGTCTTGACTGAAACAAAAAGAGGGGAGTGCAGGGGGATCTGCTGCTACTACCCTGGACTCCAAGTACCCTCTCCTTTAGGCCAGTGAAAGCATCTGAAATGTGGCTTAAATGAAGAGTAGATTTTCAAAGAAAAAGGACACCTAAGTGCTCTATAGCCACAACAGGCACTTTACATGTCATTTGCATATGATTTGTGGGCAAAATTAAACCTGCCTGCTCCAGCTCTCCAATGCCTCCCTCCTTCATCACCTCTCTGACTTAGGTTAGCATCAACTCTTTCAAGTCTTTGCTAATCCCAGAGATCAAGGGGTGATCAGTTCTCCCAGCCATCCTCTTGCTCCCCCCACCTTTGACTCCTGCCATCCTCTGTGAGATGCCAAATCATCAAAGGACATTATTCATGGTGGACCTTTGCTGAAGCCCTGCTTCCCTGGTGCCAGAGCTGGGGGCAGGGAGGGATGGGTTGGTGGGGGAGGAGGTTGATGGGCCCAGGAGGCTTTTGGTCCTCAGCTAACACCTCTTCCTGCACACCTAACTCCCTCCACTGGCTTTTCTTGGGCTTCTGTCTCCAGGCAGGAGGAGGAGAGGAGGAGGAGAGAGACAGCTAGTCCGACTAGGAACAGCACCTGAGCTTCTCAAAGGAATGAACCAGTCATGCCATTTGCATGTAAAAAGCCTCCCACTTCTATTCCTAGTCTGGCCAAATGGTCCCAGCCCTGGGTTCTGGCCCATGTTCTTTGCCCACACAGCCCTGCAATTAGCTGTGTAATGAGAAGCTTTTAATGAGGCCTCATTAGCCATGCATATAATAAAGAGGCCTGATACCCAGCTGCTGCCCTCACTCTGAGGTGAACATGGGGCCCTGTGCAGTCAGGGTGGTTTCTGATAGTATGGTCCAAGTCCCAGGGTGGGTGAGGTGGGAAGAGAGGATTTCAGGAGCCCATTAGCACTTGAGAGGCTCCATGGAAGATCCTTGTTTTGGGCTGAGATATGAGAAGCTTGGCTCTGGCTTCCTTTTTCATTTTAAAAGTAAATTTTTATTATTCATCTATTATATGCCAAATACTCCAAGGTGTGAGATACAACAGCAAATAAATCAGACAAGAATTCTTACCCTTGTGATACAGTCTAGTAGAGGTGGTCTATGTCATAGAGAGACACTAAGTGAAACACTAGGGTGCTGCATGTAATAAGTGCATGAAAGAAAGGAGGGAGATATATGGAATTTTGGGGTGATTGAAACTTTTGGGGAAGGCCTTGGTAAGGAATGTTTGTAGTAAACACAAGATGGAGGTACTGTTTTTGCCTTGTCCCAAGATGTAGAAGAGTAGAAGGTCCCAAATCTCTAAGTCTCAGAGAGGTGGGCCATCTGTTCCCTTTGGGAGGGATAACTATTCCTTCACAGGTCAATGTTCATGCCAGTGCAGTAAAAAGAATGAGATTTGGGGGGAGAAGAACCTGAATTTGAGGCTGTACTCTGTTGTTTAGTAGCTGTATGTACTGTAGCCAGTGACTGAACCTCCTGGGTCTCAGGTTTCTCATCTGAAAAATAGGCATATTTCCTACTTACATGGTGCAGGTGAGGAAAACAAACAGATTGCTCTATCCCAAACACCTTGAGAATGTTCAAACCTTGCACTCTCTCAGCATTCTAGGAGGCTGAGGGAGGAGCACCTTTAGTTCAGTATGGGCAACTTGCCAGGACCCTGTCTCAAAATAAAAAATTAAAAATGCTTGAGGATGTAGCTCAGTGAGAAGGTCCTGGGTTCAAAGCTGAGCAGGACCCCTTATTTGCTCGGAAGCCAATGTTCACTGTGGCTCTCCCCCAGCTCTTTGGCATCATGGTCTCTAGGTCTGGTCTCTGGTTCCAATCCTGCAATCCTGATTCACTCCCCTAGGGGCTTTCTCTCTTGGGTGTGCAACAGGTAGAAAAGCCCCCTTTGTGTGGGGTGTGAAGAGGGGCTTAAGAGTCAGAGGATAAGATGTCTGAGCTTCAGGGAGATGAGTTAGAGGAAGATGTAACTGTGAGGAAAAAGGGAAGCAATTTAAGTGATGAATCCTAGAGTGGAGCGGGGGCAGGGCTAGGGGAAAAGCTCAGCCATTGTGTTCCTTCCTTCTCATTGAGACTATAGCAGGAGGGATAGAAGATAGGACTCTATAAGGATGCAACTAAGTCAGGCTGACACAGGGTCAGAAGGGAAGGAGAGGATGGGGAAGCCCGGGGAGAGGCATCAGCACTGGTGGGGGCAGGAGGGGGAGGTTGGCAGAAGGAGGTCTCTGCACGGAGCAGCGCGGGGGAAGGACCACCAGAGTGCTTGAGTGATGAGGAGAGGGAGAATGGAGACTGGAGGGGATGCCAGGCTCACCCCCCAATCCTCAGCCTGGTGGTCTTGGTAGTGGCAGGGGCAGAGAGACACCTGCTTGAGCTGTTTCAGCCTAGCACTCAAGCTTGAAGGTTTTAAGGGCAAGGAGCTGGTGGGCAAACACAGAGGGAAACAGACCCAGGGGCCATGCCTATTGAGCTAGACCTGGCATGGCAATTTTGTGACAAACTAGGCACAACAACATCCCTTACAGTGCCTACCTTGGGTGCTGTTGGAAAGCGGGCTGCCGGACAACTCCAGCTCACTGCTAGGTCTGTGCATATGCATGTGCGTATGTATCTGTGCAGGGAGTGTGTGTGTCTGGGTGTGTGTCTGCAGTCTGCATCCTCCCCCTCCTCCAGCCTCCCTCCTCCTCTCCAGCCACCCTGGGATTGGTGACTCTCAGCCCCTCCCCTCAGCTCCCCCAGACCCTCCCAGAGCCTTTATCAGGGAGCTGGGACTGAGTTCCTGCCACCTCCCGGATTCCCTCCACTCTGCTTTTCTCTTCCTGGCAGCTCTGCAGCGTGTGGGGAGTGGGGAGTGCTCCCAGCCAGCTCTCTGATCCTGCCAGTCCAGAGCATCAGGCTCAGAGCAGCTCTACAGGTAGGCACAGGGGGACAGTGTGGGATGGACTGAAGCTGGCACCCAGGGTCAGGGGCCAGAGTCAGGAGAGAATGGAGGAGGGAAGCCTTTGATAATCAAACAGGGTAATGGGAAGGTGGGAAGGCTATTTGGAGCCTATGGGTATAGACTGATTCTTCTGTACCAGAAAGTTTTGCCTAAGTCTTTGTTACCTAGTACTCTAAAATAGCACCCAAGACCTTTCCTCAGGTTGACTAAAGAAACAGACCAATGCATGCCCTACAAACCCATCTTCTTCCTTGGGAGCTAGAGTACTGGCACCACACCACCATTGCTTGTGTCCCAGGGTACATCCTTGGAAGGTATCTAATAGGAGAGCAGAGAAACAGAGCCCAAAGAATGAGATATATTCTTATCTACTCAGAGATACATTCTACCCTCCCTCCAGACCAGGGCTTGGATGGGACAGCTGGGGCTGGGAAAGCAGTGTTGAGCCAGGTTATTGGTCTACATTTTCACAGAGCTGTATTCTCCTCTCTCCACCTTACCTGAGGCCTGTCTCTTTGTCCTCCCAGACATCATGAGGAGCATCCTGCTGTTTGCAGCCATCCTGGCCCTTAGTCTGGGTTCAATCTTTGGGGCTGTCTGTGAGGAGTCACAGGAGCAGGTGGTGCCCAGTGGGACCCACAGCAAGGTAAGGCATCCTCTGGCAGAGTCCTGGGAACATCATGGGGTTCTGGGGTTCTGCATGTCTGGACAGCTGTAGGGAAAATTGGGTAGGCAGGGTTGGGAGTTAGGTGGGTAATCCATTTGAGGGCATTTTGTCTTCTTGTGGATTTCCTTCTCTGGTCCTCTTGAGTTCCTACTGTCTCCAGGGTATGTCTCTAAGTGTCTCTGTCTCTCTGTCTTTGACATTTTGTCATAAAAGATGCCTACAAATATGTTATTCAGTTTGTTAATTGACTGGTGGCTTGGTGATTGGATGGTGCTTTGAGTGGTGAGCTGGGGTGGTCTAAGTCTTTCTATGGTCTGGCTCAGGTTCTCTCCCTTGGCAGGGGACAGATCTTGTCTACCCCTTAGATGGTATGAAACAGAATTTCTCTCAAGTGAGCATTTGGATACTATTTCATCTATAGATTATGTATATGCTTTAATTTCAAAATACAAATAAATACCTCTATCCTCTGCTTATCTTTCACCTCATAACCTCAGGTACTTCTAAGATCCCAATGCTTCTCCTTCTTCTCTTCTTTCCTTTGCCTGTCTCTAGCCTCAGCTTAGTCAGGATAGCAAAACAAAAAACAAATAACAAAAAGCCAGGTCGAGCCCTGATTTCCAAAGTTCCTCTAAGAAAAAGAATAGGGACTGTTAGGGCTGGGGTCCAGGGCGGGTACAAGAAGGAAGTCTTCTCAAGGTTTTGAAATGACAGTGATTACATTGGTACAAATGCTTTTAAGATGATTACAGGTGGGACCTATTACAAATTCAGTGTGTGAAGTCTAACTGCTTCTCCAGATCTGATCTGTTTAGCATCTCATTACAGGAAGTGGGCAGAAAATTCGAACAATTTGGGAAAAGTGGCTGCTGTGAAGCTGTTTGCTGGGCTGAGAGAGAGAGAGAGAGAGAGAGAGAGAGAGAGAGAGAGAGATCACCAGTGCAGCATTGCAGGTGGCGCAGTTGCACCATATCCAAAATTCAAAAATGCCCTGGGAGTGCCAAGTACAGGCTGAACTTTGTGTTTGGAGCTACAAAGTTCCAGCCTGGGGTAGTTAGAGAGAATCAGAGTTCTTTAGAGACAAACCTGTTGTGGGACCTTGGGCAATGAGATGTTTCCTCTGTTCCTTTTTGTTAATGAAGTCAGCGATCACTCTTCCACCTATTCTCCCCAGCATCTGTGAGGATAAGTGCAATTGGGGCAGGAAGAGGGTTGGACAAATGTGTGCCTCTGTAACTGGGTTAGTATGTATGGGGTGTGTCCTTCTGAATGTGCACAGTAGCCCAAGGACACTTGGATTCTGGAGAGATGTGTGGCTGAGATTCAAGGTGAGAATCTCCAAACATGACCATTGTCATTCTCTCTGCACCTGTATTTAACTAGGTGGTGGCATACACTGTGCTGTGCCCAAGTTGCTAGAAAACTAGAGAAAATCCTGAAAGAAACAGGGTGTTAGGTTTAGCTGTCATGGGTTCAGGACGAGACTGTTTTGTGTGGGAAAAGAGTAAGAGGATGGGATATAAGTCTCCTGTCTCAGTCCTTTTCATTCCTCTCCCCTACAAGGACTCAGATCTCTACCAGCTGCCCCCATCGTTGCTGCGGAGACTCTATGACAGCCGCTCAGTCTCTCTGGAAGGATTGCTGAAAGTGCTGAGCAAGGCTAGCATGGGTAGGAGGCAGCCCCTGGGAGAGGGTGTGATCCGCAGGATTCTGAAGATTAGATAGGCCTGGATGGGAGGGAGGAAAGGGATGACTTAATGAATCTGTAAGGATCGTGACCCGACCCCACCCCATTGTTGCTTTCCAGCACCCACTCCCCATTTATACACTTGTTCTTGGTTTCTTAGATCCTAAGGAATCGTCTCTTCCCCAGAAGCGTGAGTACCCTCTTCTCCCTCACTGTCTCTGCTGACCACTCACCCAGAGCTCAATGGGCATGGGGCCTAGAGGGCATTTTGGCTGGCCCCATCTCAGCTGGTGCAGACAACATGCCAGCTACAATTTCTCAGCCAGCTTTTCCTAAGTGAGAGAGGCCATTGGCAATGAGGAAAGAAGCAGGTGTGAGGGCCATGGGTCTGCTTATCGGGAACCAAGAGGAACCAAAAGGTGACTATGAAGATTCTAAGCTAGGCACCTGCTGGGGCAGAGGATTCTTGAAATGTGGAAAGGCTGGGTGTAGAGGATAAACCATCACTCCATCTGTTGACTATGTTGGCCTTTTTCTGCAGGTGACATGCATGATTTCTTTGTGGGACTTATGGGCAAGAGGAACAGCCTTCCAGGTAGGAGTGTGAGGGAGTGAGGTTTGGGGTACTGATGAGGAAATGACAGACAAGTGTCTCCTATTTGTTACCAGAGGGAACAATAAGACTTTTCTTGGTTGCTGTAAGTGTTCTTGCCTCTTTCTTCCCAATCAGCTTGGATTCATAGTCAAGTCCTCCTAGGACTCAGAGTGGGGGACCTTTCTGCTGCAGCTGGGAGGAAGGGACAGGGCAACCCTGCTTCTTCTCCATTTCTCCAACTCTTTCCAAAGCTGACCTCAATAGCCAGTCCTTCCCTGTTGGGTCAGGATGAAGGTGACATTAAGAAAAATATCTCCTAATTACATGATTTACTTCACCCCAGACACACCTACTGATGTGAATGAAGAGAACATCCCCAGCTTTGGCACCTTCAAGTATCCCCCTAGTGTGGAATGAGGTAAGGACTGTTGGCAGGAGCAAGGAGAGGGGATGTGTGTGTGTGTGCGTGTGTGTGTGTGTGTGTGTGTTGGTGTGTTGCTACTTGTCCATTCCTTGGATGCTTGGAACCTTTTGACTCAGAGTCCTGGTTTATGGGCACAGAGCTCAGTCAGACATAAGGGTGATCTGGGAAGAGAAGTGAGGGACTCTGAAGTCTAATGGGAGCAGCTGGAAAACACACCTTAGTCTCTCTATGTAGATAATGGTTTGAGTTTGAATCCTGGATCTGCCATTCTCTGCCTGTGTACCCTTGGCTGAGTTACATAACCTTCTGCATCTCATTTTCCTCATCTGAAAAATGAGGGTGGTGAGGGTGATGATAGTATCTCTCAGGATTGTAGCATGGAGGATGGAGTATAGATAAACAGTGTTCAGGTTGGTACCTGTGCAGAGTGCTGTGTGTTAGCTATGCTACAGCTCTGCTGGCCTGCCAGGGTGGGGTTTCCCTTGACTGGCTCTGGACTGGCCTGAGCTGGCTGACAGATTCCTCACTTGTCTGCTAGTGTGACAGTGCCCCAGGGAAGTGTCTAGTCAAAACACAGAGCCTTCTGCCTTGACAGGGTCTGCCCACACACAGCAATAGCAGCTCAACTGCTTCTTTTCACTAACTTCCAAAAAAAGAGGGGAGAAGAGAGGAGAGAGGTTGGGAAGTCCCGGTAATCACAGAGAGCAGCCTGCCTCTCACCCTGTGCCCCTGGAACCTTCCCTCACTGGTCCAAAAGGACCAGCCCGGGACTCACGGAGCTGACTATTGATACTACCACCTGTGCATAACTCCTCCGGACCAGGGACTGGGTCTGGCCCCTCATCTACTGTTGGGTGAGAGGGCACAAAAGCTGTAATAACTATAACTCACTGATTATATGGCACTTGCTGTATCATTTTGCTCTCATTAGGTGGTTATTTCAGTCCTGCTGACGGCCAGATAATTATATGGGCAGCTATATCTGGGTGACATACTCTCCTCCAGTGTTATGCACTGGCCATAAAGATAATTACAGTGCAATTTTGCCATAGTATTTTATACAAATGGCAAAAACAAGTTCATTGTAGAAATCTGCTTTTAATGTTTGCTGGTGAATCCAGGATATTTCAGAGGGACCAAGTCTATAATTGCAGCCTTCATAATCTTACCATTGACGGAGTATTCACAACCTCCTAGGTGCCATTCAGAATAGCACATAAGGTCCCTGGGGACTGGCACTTAAAGGGCATTAGATGAGGTGGATCAACATAGATCATTGTGTCACCTTATTTTATTCATGTGAAACTGCTGAAATGGGAAATAATCTGGGGGCCCATCCTTCCTCTGGGAGGTTTCTGGGAAGAAGAGAAAGTGGTAAGTCAGGGGCAGCATTAGCACCAGGTGCCTGGAATGGGCTATGTGTGTGCCTGGCTCCTGGGGGTGCTCAGATGATACGAACTTGGTCACTACATCTTTCTGCATGGGCCCCAAAGACCATGCCACAGGTATTTAGCACAATAAACGCAGTAGCAGAGAAGGAGCAAGCACCAGTCCTTTAGTCCAAAGGCTGCATGGACAACTAAGGGTTAAGACTTCCCTCCTTCACTTTCACCCAGTCAGTAGCAAGCAAGAGTTTTATAGAACATAAGAAGTGATTTGGTTTTATGCTTTGTTTGTTTCATTTTGATCCTCAGCACTCTACTTCTGAACCCCTGGGCTGCATCATGGAGACACTGTCCCCTGTCCCAATCCCAGGTGGACGTTACCCTATTTCCCTTTCTGTTCCTATTCCTGTAATATTCTTGTGCTTTAACTCCTTCCCTATCCCCTCTAGTAACTGGTGACTATCCCCAATCCTAATAGGCACTGACTGTGGATTCTATAGATTAACTATAGTTTCTGTAGTGTCCTACATTAAAAATGTCTCTCTCTTCCTCAACAATAAAGGATTTTTACATATGAGTGATATGATGTATTGTCTGTTTGTTTGGTGGGTGGGTTTTTCTTTTCTTTGACTCCTCCACTACATTATAAATACATACCAGGTATGGTGGTGCATGCCTGTACTCACAATTACTTGGGAGGTTGAGGCAGGAGGACTGTAAGTTTGAGTCCTACCAGGGTAACTCAGTGACACCCTATCTCAAAATAAAAAATTGAAAAAGGGCTAGGGATGTAGCTCAGTGTGAAGGCCCTGGGTTCAATCCCTCATACCACTGAAAGCAAACAAGCAAAACCCCCATACATATATGCATACATATGACACACACACCATATTTAAATGGAAGTATATTTATTTTATGACATATCAATTGCCCAACACTGCCTCACACAGTGCTCGGTACAATTAGTATCAGATTGATTTAGTGATTAAAAAATAAATACACGAATTTGGAAGATGACCTTAACATTTAAAGACCTCGGATAACAAAATCACCGAAAGTCTTGCCTGCAGGTCTAGGATTGGCCTGGGAGACCTTAATTCCTGAATCTGACCTTGTTTAATTAGACAGGAAGATGGGGATCAAGGCAGTGCAAAGACCTGGTGATATAGCAGTGTATCATATTGTCTCCAAATGTTGAGACAGATCCCAGGGAAGAGATGGTGACCCATGCATAAGTTTTATAGCCTAGCAAGGCTGTAGATAAGCAAACAAAACTTGATTCAGCTAGGATGGAGAGTGGACAGGAAAGTTAGTGAAGAGGCCAGAAAAGAGAGGAGCAGATATCTCAGTGTCAACTGGCTGACTTATATTTAGTTCGGATTCTTCTATAAAGTAGCTGTTACCAGGCCTTGCAGCACAACCAAGTTGTTCACAGAATAGATAGTTGAAAAAAAAGCTTTGTATTATTATCTGGTTGTTTCTTTTTTGCAGCGATCTTTTTCATTTATGTCTTGTACTCTGGAGTAACTCCTTTGAAGATAATGATACACAGTGAAAAAAATGAATATAAGACAGCCAGGATAAATTTTATTAATCTGACGTGAGTGACAACTGTCATAGCCCACTGATCCCAGGGAGGAGTCTGTACCCTAATGGAACAGAGCCTGGGAAATCCTCAGCTCCCTGTCTTAGCCTGGGTCAGAAGCCTCGGTCTTGCACCTGAATTGCACTGACACAAAGTCCACACTTAGCTCTCCCAAAGCAGTGTCAGGACAGGACCTTGGAGCCAGAGGCCACTTCCTGCAGTTCTTTCACCCCAGTGAAAGTCCTACATTTCCAGAACCTGACTGAGGCTATTGGACTGACAGCTGCATGGTGGAGCGGTAAGGCAGGGCTCCTCTCCCTAGCCAGAGGTAAAAAAAAAGTTCCTATTCTATATCCTAGAACCTTTCTCCAGTGAGACATCTCATTGACTTTTTAGTTAGCTATCTTTAGAGCTGAAAAGTGGAAACACTTTCGTGGAGTCTGGAGAATTTCTCTGGGTCATGGAAACCCCAAGAATTGCTCTCCTAACACTTGGAATCAGGTATATTTGTTTGTGGAGATGAGATCATTGTTTGACAAACAAGATGCATAAATGCAGAAAGGTTGCTCTCTGGTGGAACAGATAAAAATTGCAGTACCAGGGATTCTAGGAAAAATGAAAACACATTTTAAATTAGATTAATGTTTCTGTGTTTGGAGAATATGTGAAGGGCTTTTTTTTTTTTGGTACTGGGGAGAAAACTCAGGATCTTGTTTTTGCCAGGCAGGTGCTCTGCCACTGAGCTTAATCCCTGGGCCCTGTGAAGGGATCTTGGCCCTCCTGTTCCTGTTGTAGAGAGGGTGATGCTGAAACAGACCTGGTCAAGAAGACCTCACTAAATTCATGGTCCTTTCTTCTCCTTTTGGTTTTGCATATGGGTGTTATTGTGACTGGAGTAATTCACTTCCAAAAAGACTTCAGTAATAAACCATATACTCTTTCATCTGTGTCCTTTAGGTGGTTTATTAGCACACAAAATTTTACTGGGATCGACACTCCCAAGCAGTAGCTAAAGCAGTTGGTAGGAAGACTGAGCAGACCCTTGCAAGTCCTCACCTTCTGTCTTTAAGAGTTGTGCTGGCTGCCTGGAGCCTGATGGTTGTGTGATGTTCCCCCTACCCAGCTTCGCAGACTGGGCTTGCCATTAGAAGGTAGGGGCAGCCTCCAAGTGAGCCGTTTATGATAGGGCCAAGTGGAATTCCTCACCTCCAAGGAGAAGTCACATGGCTGTTTCTGTGTCTGTTAGCTAATAAATGCTACATATTTGGTGGGATTTTGATACAGTGCTTGCTTTGTGTATCAAATGAAATGAAGACACAGTCTCCCAAATTCACCAAGAGAACAGGCTATTACTGAATGGCCAAACTGGTTTAGATCATTTGGCCACATCCTGCTTGTTCCTTCATTCCCATTTGTCTACTGAGTTACTGCATAAGCCTACCTGGGTGTGCCTGTCCTGAGACTTGTGCCTGCAGGCTGCTGTTCTCAGGCAGTGGAACGGATGGGAACGGGGACAGGGTGGAACTGAAGGGTCTTGGAGCTGTGGGATTCTTCCCTGTGGAGGAGGCAGAATGGATGACCCAGACTTCTAAAGTCTTTGGTGGTGGTGTGGGGGCAGTCAGGGTAAGTAGTTTTGGTTTATGACTACTCTGGGCAAGAGCATTTGAGGAGAGGAGCTGGGAATAGAGTTTGAGAAAGAATAGGTGAGGACAGGCTTCAGAAACTGGCTTGAGCTTCCAAGGCACAGTGAGTGGGTCCCGTGACTTCCTTCATCTGGCCATCTAGGTGGAAGGAGGGACAGGATGGGTCCATCAGAAGGCCAGCCCTCAAGTGCTTGCTCCTTCCTTCCTTCCTTCCTTCCTTCCTTCCTTCCTTCTTCCGCACAGGTTGTATTAAGCACCCATCATCTGTGCCAGGAGGTATGGTGAGAGTGGAAATAGAGTCTTGCGCAAAACCACAGATCACAGCCTAGTGGAGACATAAATTAATCAAATAAGCTTGCAACTTTTTGTAAAACTACAACGGCAGATGTTGTGAGAAGCTTTTTGTATCTATGAGATGGAGACTGGGGAGGGGATGAGAGCTGTTTGGACAGGCTTTTCACTGCCAGACGCCCGGGCTGGTGGAGGACGGGCCTCTATACAAGTGCCTGATCAGCGCTTGGAAAATCTCGGACTGGGGGTCCGGCTCGGACCCGCGGTGGGGGGCGCTGCCTCCTCCTGGGCGGCGGCGGGGATGGGAGGGGAGCAGTAGCTCTGCGGCGGGGGGCGCTGCCTCCTCCGGGACGGCGGGGGGCGCTGCGGGCCGGGCGGCGGGGGAGGCCCGGGCCGGCGCGGCGAGCGGCTCGGCGGATGGAGAGTCTGGCCGCGGCCGGCGGCGCCGCCTCCTCGTCGGGCCGGGCACGGCGGGCCGGGGCCTTTGTGTGAGCCGGCGGCGGCGATGGTGCTCGGGCCCCGCGGAGCCGGGTAAGCGCGGCCGGGCGAGGGCTGCCCCTGGCAGAGCCCGATCCCGGCCCGGCCTTTCGGTCGCTCTCGCCGGGCTCCTCCTGCCCGCTGCCCTCGGCCGGCCCCATACCCCAGCCGCGCGTCCGGGATCGGCCCCGCTGTCCCTGCTGCCGCTTGGTGGCCTCCTTTCGGCCTGCCGCCCGCCTCGTCCCCCGCCCGGGGTCGCCCGGGGTCGCCCGGGGTCGCCCGGGTGAACCCCGCGCCGTCTGTGGGGGGAAAGGGGCGCTCGGGCCTCCCCAGGGGGAGTGTCCCAGCCCACTCCGAGGCCCAGCCCTCGCGGATTCAACCCAACAGAGGGTCGGATTGTAGGGGTGTCGTCCTCGGAAGTTCCGAATACCCGTTCTTTCGTCCCCTCTCAGGCTGCCCAGTGCCCTGACCCGCCACCATGAATGAGTGGCCACTGGGGCCAGGGAGGTACCTGGCTAGTACCTAACAATATTCAAGCTTGCTGGGCCCCAGAAAAAGTTGGGCGTTGTTGGTAGAATCTGGTGAGAAGGCAAAAGGGCTGTGCTGCGCAGGGCGAGTCGTGAGACTGAACAAGCATGCAAGAATGGAGAAGCGAAAAAGTGGTATTGAACTAGACTTAGCTAATTAGATGTTTCTTAAGGCATTGAGTAAATCTGTTAGTATAGCTCCAGTACAAGCCCAATACCTGAAAAGGGTGATAAAAGGGAATAAAGCATACTCAAATAACATTTTCTACAGCTGTGTTTTACTTTGCTTTACTGTTTTTGGTTCTGAGTGAACTACATCCATAGAATACTGTAATTGACCTGGATTATAGGCATGTAGCGTGAGCAGGGAGAGATGGCAATTCAAGAGTGTGAGATTTATTTAGGGACACAGAAAGGACACAGCAGTTATAAAACTAAAAGATGGCACCCCCTTAACTCTTCCTTAGTACCCAGTGGAGCTTGGATAATTGTGTTGAAGTTGTATGTATGGCATTTGGGGTCTTGAGGGAAGAGAGTATACTCACTGAGATAAGAAAGTGTATGTTTAAGGGGACACACAAAATGTTTGAGCCAGTTATGATGATAATGAAAAACAGGATTGTATTTGAGGGAATGCTTTCTACTTAGCTGTAAGACACTAGCTTGAGGCCCACATCCTCTTACTGACAAAAGATCAAGCAAATCAGATTTTTTCACTCCTTGGGTTTTGTCATAATTTCTCTGGGTTTGGGTATATGCAGGGGGCCAGGTTATTGTCTTGCCATTGTTGTAGTTCTTGCCCCCAGCAGAATATGTATGCACTCAGAATGGGTATCTTCTCCAGAGCCTTTCTTTTAGGATTGTGTTTGGCCCTCCATCTTTTTCTTTTGCTATTCACAGATTAACCGTGCTGCTAAGGAGACAACTTCGTAGGAGCTGCTAAGATGGGCATGAGAATCAAACTTCAAAGCACCAACCACCCCAACAACCTGCTGAAGGAACTCAACAAGTGTCGGCTCTCAGAGACCATGTGTGATGTCACCATTGTGGTGGGGAGCCGTTCCTTCCCAGCCCACAAGGCTGTGCTGGCCTGTGCAGCTGGCTACTTCCAGAACCTCTTTCTGAATACTGGGCTTGATGCTGCCAGGACCTATGTGGTGGATTTCATCACCCCTGCCAACTTTGAGAAGATTCTGAGCTTTGTCTACACATCAGAGCTTTTCACAGACCTGATCAATGTTGGAGTCATCTATGAGGTGGCTGAGCGTCTGGGTATGGAGGACCTTCTCCAGGCCTGCCACTCTACCTTTCCTGACTTGGAAAGCACTACTGTGGCCAAACCTCTGACCAGCACCAGTGAGAGCCAGTCTGGTACTCTGAGTTGTCCCTCAGCAGATCCTGCCCATCCCCTTGGAGAACTCCGGAGTGGTGGGGAACATTTTGGTCCTGATAGAAACTATGTGTTGCCAGCTGATGCTGGAGGAAGCTATAAGGAGGAAGAGAGAAATGTTGCCAGTGACGCTAATCACAGCCTGCCTCTGCCACAGCCACCTTTGCCACCAAAGACAGAAGACCATGATGCTCCTGCTCCTTTCATGTCTCTTACTAGTATGGCAGCCCAGCCAGTCCTAGGCACCGTCAGCACGGGTGTCCGGACAAGCATGAGCTCTTGCCAGCCATACAAAGTTCAAAGCAATGGAGATTTCAGTAAAAACAGCTTCTTCACTGCTGACAATGCAATTGACATCACCACTGGGACCAATTCCTGTCTGAGCAATAGTGACCACTCCAGAGATGCAGGGTTTGGGCAGATGGATGAGCTCCAGCTGGAGGACCTGGGGGATGATGACTTGCAGTTTGAGGATGCCACTGAGGAGATTGGGACAGTGGAGGAGGTGATTGAGCTGAGTGATGACAGTGAGGATGAACTGACCTTTGGAGAGAATGACAACCGGGAGAATAAGGCTATGCTTTGCCAGGTGTGCAAGAAAGTTCTAGAGCCCAACATTCAACTGATCCGACAGCATGCTAGGGACCATGTAGACCTGCTGACAGGCAACTGCAAGGTCTGTGAGACCCACTTCCAGGATCGAAACTCTCGGGTGACCCATGTCCTCTCCCACATTGGCATTTTTCTCTTTTCCTGTGACATGTGTGAAACAAAGTTCTTTACCCAATGGCAGCTAACCCTTCACCGACGAGATGGAATATTTGAGAATAACATCATTGTTCACCCCAATGAGCCTCTGCCTGGGAAGCTGGGTCTGTTTTCAGGGGCAGCCTCCCCAGAGTTGAAGTGTGCTGCCTGTGGGAAGGCATTGGCCAAAGATTTCCAAGTGGTCCGAGGCCACATCCTCGACCATCTGAACTTGAAGGGCCAGGCCTGCAGCGTCTGTGACCAGCGCCACCTCAACCTTTGCAGCCTCATGTGGCACACGCTTTCCCATTTGGGCATTTCCGTTTTCTCCTGCTCTGTCTGTGCCAGCAGCTTTGTAGATTGGCACCTCCTGGAGAAGCACATGGCTGTGCACCAAAGTCTGGAAGATGCCCTCTTCCACTGCCACTTGTGCAGCCAGAGCTTCAGGTCAGAGGCCGCTTATCGCTACCATGTCAGCCAGCACAAGTGCAACAGTGGCCTCGAGGTACGGCCTGGCTTGGGGCTGCAGCACCCAGCCCTCCAGAAGCGGAAGCTGCCAGCCGAGGAGTTTCTGAGTGAGGAGCTGGCTCTGCAGGGGCAACCTGGGAATAGCAAATATAGCTGCAAGGTCTGTGGCAAAAGGTTTGCCCACACAAGTGAGTTCAACTACCACCGGCGGATCCACACGGGCGAGAAGCCGTACCAGTGTAAGGTGTGTCACAAGTTCTTCCGAGGCCGCTCAACCATCAAGTGCCACCTCAAGACCCACTCAGGTGCACTCATGTACCGCTGCACAGTCTGTGGCCACTACAGTTCCACCCTTAACCTCATGAGCAAACATGTTGGTGTGCACAAAGGCAGCCTCCCGCCTGACTTCACCATTGAGCAGACCTTCATGTACATTATACATTCCAAAGAGGCTGAAAAGAACCCAGACAGCTGACTGGGTCCCAGCAGAGCCGGGGGAGTTCCTGGGTGGCAGCCAGGACAGTGGTTTTCTGATGGCTGTTGGTCTCTTCCCAGCTAAAGCCTACAGTTTTGCCTTGCTAAGAATTCTATTCTGTGTTGTGTTTTTAGAAGAAAGAAGAAGTACATAGCACATAAGCTGTTATGGTTTTTGAGAATGCAATGGCTCTTGCATTTACCTCCATACATGTTCTGGCCCATGAAGGGCTCTGTTTTTGATTCTTTTGAGGCTGGCTTTGGGGTCTAGTCAAGCAGTTGTGTCAACTAGATTCCCTTCCCCAGCTTCTCTAGTTTTAGTTTACTGATAGGTTTTATGCTGCTAAGAATCCAACCAACAGCCTCACAAAATAAAGGAGGTGGAGAGAGGTTTTCACTGTGGGTATACTGCTACACCTTCAACTGGGACAACCAGCTATGAGAAGGATTTGGGGAATGTGGTCATTCAGAAAGGACTAGTTAACAGGGCTGCTCACATCAGGTTCCAGTGCCAACCTTTAACTGGGAGAAGGTGTCAGGGATGGAGGTGCCTGCTTGCTCCATGGCCCTAATCTGCTGATTGGCAGTGAAAATTTTGGCAGCAAAGCTTTCTATTTAGGTCACAAAGCTTTGGGATGACTCCTTGCCAGCAGATGGGATTAGTCCTGCCGTGCTGCCAGACATGGCAACCTGGATGGACAGGAGAGGAGACTCCTCTTTTCTCCTCATTTCCAAAGAATCATAATTTTGTGGAGTGGTGGCCTGGATGTCAAGCCTTCCCTGTGGAGCAGAGAGGACAGGGAGCCACTTTGATATAATTGCCTGCCATTTTGCCTGCCTCCATTGATCTTGAGTTTCCTGGTGGAGAATGGGAGATGTCCCTGACAGCAGCAGCCTTGCCTTAATTTATATCCAGTCTCCCATTCAAGAGGGTTTGGCTTGTAATGTACATGAGAAAACCCAGGCAGTAATGGAGTGTTGAACTATGAGTCCTTCAGGTTTAAAGGGTGGTGTGTAGCAGGGTGTGTAGCAGGGTATGCATTCTGTCTGTCCCAATTAGGTAACTTGTTGTTTACTTCGTGTTAACAGTGCTAAAGCTTTGGCAGCTCACCTTTGACCTGCTGGAACTGATCTTGATCTGTCATTGCACCACCTCCAGAGGGCCCTGTTGGGTGACAGCTGGTTACAGGCCCTCCCTAGGTGGCCTAGTCCCTGTGTCTCTTTGGCTCCATTCTTCATTGGTCTATGAAGGCATCTTGCCCAAAGAAGGTTGGAGGGAGAGGGCCCTTGATCTTGTATTCTCACATCATGGCACCTCAGAGCTCATACTACCTCATCCAGCTCAGGTGAGCTCTGGGAGTCCCTGGCCTCAGCCTGACACTGCCCCTGGTGGGACTCAGCAGCATTCCAGGCTGTTTCACAAGCAAATAGTTTAACCCACAAAGCCTTTCTGGACATTAATATTTATTTTTTGTTTTTGTTTTCATATGCGTGTTACCCCAGCATCTCTTTTGGGTAAGAGACTTTAGGAAAATGAGTTTCTCCCAAGCAAGTAGCCATATTCCAGTGGACTATCCTGGCCAGAGAGTTGGGGAATAGGGATATAATTAGGGGGAGACCATGTCAAGCCTTTTAAACCAGTAAATTTTCTTCCTTTAGGCAATGGATGTAAGTTCTAGAAAGTTGGGGCCCAGTTAAATTCCCAGACCTTTCATCCTCCTTCTATCCTAGACTGGGGACTGAGATGAGGGGATCAGGTCACATGAAAGAGCTTTTTGTACACTTTCTTGTCCTTTCTAAATTTAGGTGGGCTCCTGTCCTTGTCTTTACTAAGACACACAGATGAACCAAAACTCTGTCCCTGTTGGGCCTGCTGCCTCTCCACCCCTGGATTGAGCAAGCCTTAGAGTCAGAGAACAGGGCTCTCTAGTGGGTTTTCTAATTCCCCACCAGGTGACAGGACTTGTACAATGGCCAGTTAAAGGCCTACCTTTCATCATCTAAACCCGGTTCAGAATATCTCATGAGGAAAGCAGTGCTGAGACTTTTTACACTGATCATTAAGAACTTAAGAAGGGAATTTATAATACTTGACTACAATCAAGTATCTACTATTCTTCCCAAGCATGAAGGATCCTCTGAGACTTGGTGAGGACTGAGTTTTGAATGGTTGATTTGAGAGAGGTGGTACTTACTAGGACCCTGCCAGGTAGCTGAGAATGAATAAATACACCAGAGAAACCCCTTTCCTTAATAGAGGGCATCGTGGATGCTGGGTGATCTGTATACTTAACCTGAAACTGTGAAGTTTTCCCTTTTTGCCAGTAAACCAAAAAGCAGATCCTTGAAACTTTGCGCTTGAAACATTAAACAAAAAACTGCTCCTCCTGATCTCCCTGAGGATAAGTGGTTGATCAGGGAGGCCCAGTTGGTCCCAGTCAGACATGTAGCAAGCAGGATCAGTAGCTCTCAAGGCTCAGTGGTCAAACCTCATCCCTCTGGGCATTGATTCATACATGAGCTTGCTATCCATATGAAGTTATGTTTGCTTCCTCTGCCTCCAGGTTACTCTCTTCTGAGTTGTTTTACTTGAAATGCTATTTTGTGGCAAAGGGTACTCTAGGATACCTGGTGAAGGTATTTACTTGACTTTGTTGGCATTCGTTCATTGGATCCTGTTGCTGTCTAGCACTGCCCTCTGCTGAATTACTCTGAAGTTCTGTTTGACCCTTGAATGTTCTCTCTTCTCCTGTTTTCCTTTTTTTCTTGTTCTGTACTCAGGACCAGAGCCCTCTTATTCACAGATTATTAGGATTTTTCAGATGGCTATTATAGAGCATTAAACCAAATTTGGAGCCATTCCCAACTTGTTTCCTAAGGGGAAACAGCAATACTTATATGGAATGCTGGGAAAAACCAGAGAGGCTGCTTGTGGCCAGGGGAGGGGATCAACGTCCTGCACTCCAGTGACCCCTGGTGGCTTATAGGTACCTTGACATCCACTGGGAGTTCTGCTAAACCCTAATATTTGGTACTAAATTTTAAAACCCCATGAAGACCTTATGGTTCAGTGGCTAGTTGGGAAGAAAGGAGGTAGGGGTGGGGGTTGAGCCCAGGTAACCCCTAAGAACCAGGAAATGGGTAAAATTATTTTTTACTTCTATTTTGATCCATCCGCATCACTGTTTTCAAGACAAACCTTTGGGCTTAAATATCTTTTCCCCTAGTCAGGTTTTTGCTACTGATAAATGTCCTTGCCTCTTGCTGTGCCCTATTCCCCAGTCCCCAGAGCACTCAACCTCAAAACTGAATTTAAATCCCTTTATAGATGGACACAATTTGTTGGCATACGAATAGGCTGTATGGAGCAGGCTGTGCCTGTTTGGGAACTCCCAGGTGTCCTTTTCCCTAAATCCTGCACCAAATGAGTCAGGGAGCAGGATGCACAGCATTAGTTTCAGTGTGATTATGCATCATAAACTTAATATCATAATGAAAATGAAACTTTTGATTTTGATCTTTAACATTCTCTTGTCCAATCCATCTATTCTCCCCCCCCACCTCTAATAGCTGAAATCTCTTATGAAACAGAGAAGAGTTGTTGATGTCTAACTCCTTCCATTAAATTAATAAGTACTGACCTCCTAATATTTAAGTGTTTACTATCTATTGCTGTAAAGTTTTGTACATTTTGTAAACTTTTTTTCCCAAATAGTAGATGTCTAAAATCGTTGTACATCTGATTCTTTTATATTCCATTGTTCAGCACAAAGTGTGGTTTTTATTTAGAATAAAAAAAAGAAATTTGAAATGGGAGTTCTTTTCCTGTAAACTGTGAACATGCTCATATCTTGAGTTCCAAATATCTGAGCTCATCACCCTTTCAATAGCACATGTTTCAGCAGATGCCAGAATTCTTTCATGTAGCACATTTTCCTTTCCTATAGCTGGAATTCCCCCAGATTAGCTTGTTGACTGGTTTTAGTGGGAAATTAAGTCAGACAATTTTTTCAGGGGCACATCCCTAAGGGGATCTTCCATCTGCCCAGAGAGAGCTCTGGGCCTCTGCAGATAACCAGTTGGACCAAGTAAGGGATTTGGCCAGACATACTGTCTTGCCCTTGCTGTTTAGTTCATCGTGAAGCAGTGTGTTTTCTAGTGGAGAGCTGCAGATGGGAAGTGGAAGGGAAAGGAAGATGGAACAGGGAAGAGGCAGAGGTTTGACCTAATTGCACGAGGTTGGTACCAATAAACTTCCACAGAGGAGACAGACCTCTAGCAGGTAGGGAGTGATGTGCATTTGGTCCCAGGGCACATGGCCCAGGCCCTGTTCTCATCGGTGCTCAGTGTTTGCTGAACAGAACAACCTTGTAGAAGTCAGCGCAGCTGCTTCCCACTCTCCCCTTCCATGGGTGGAAGGGCCCTAAGAAAGTACTCATACTGCCAGGATGACCACTAGTCTTGGGAAATGGTTTCTGTGACATCCTGGGTAATGACAGATGTAAAGTTGGATTTCCTTCAGAAAGCTCCCAGAGCCCAGGTCAGAGGAGGCAGTGATACCAGTATCTGATCTTGATTGCTTTTTAAGTGGGAACAATTTTAATGTGATTTCTGCATTGTTAGGTTAAACCCTGCTGTACCCCCAAGTCACAACTCAGGCTCCTAAATCAGAAAGGCTTCAGCTCTGTGCCACCAAGCAGCTGTTGTAGTTTAAAACCCTTTCAGGTTTGGGCGGTGAGCAGTGGATGGCAGATATGGTTTCCCTCTGCACTGCTGACAAATCTGGATGTGTACACCACTGGGGCATGTGTTTAAAGGTTCCCAGAGAGCACAGGCTGAGATAAGAGCAGAAGAGATGCTCTCTGGGAAATGAGTTGTTATTCTAAGTTAAACATTCCAGCACACTGTGCTCTTGACTGAGGAGATAGTGAAGAGATAAGTGATTTCACCTGCAAGTTTTCACTCTCCACAAACAAGTGAAAGGCAGAAACTTGGACCTGTTCTTAGGCTTTTACAGAAGAGTTTTTCATGTTTATAGTCTTACTTCCTAAACTGATAAATGAGTCTTCCAGAAGACCAACTTATTAATAAGAGGAACATCTTTATCTATAGAACAAGTATAAATAAATGTAAACTGCTGGACAGGAAAATAATGAAAAGACATGACCGGGAAGAAGTGACTAGTGCCAGAGCCCTGCCCTGTGACAAAGCAGGGAAATTTCCACTTTGGCCTTCCTCAGCCTGGAGCGAGGGACAAAGGCCAAAGGATGCAACAACTGCCAGCACCTGCTGCTGGTGTTTCCAAGGCCTGTTCCTGGAATGGATGTCCCCTGATATTCTCCTGTGATCTGGAGAGCAAGAGAGAGGTGGGGAGCTCTGTGCCTCCCTAGAGCAGTGATGGCGAACTTACTGGTGCCACACACACACACACACACGCCTGCTGCAGCCGGCTGTTTATTATTGAAAGCTCTAAAAGATTAGCCGTCACTGCCCTAGAAGATGGTGTTCTAGACCCAAAGCTGGGAAGTTTGCTGTGAGGAGCATCTGCTCTGGGGGAGGAGAGGCAGGATGGACAAGGAGGCGGGGAGGATATCAGCAAGGAAATGGAGCTGTGTTTCCTGACTGGTCAAGGGTGGAGAAACCATCCTGCTGACCCAGCTGCGGGGTGTCTGTCTCAGACCAGCTTCACCTAATCCCCGCTTCCCCACCCCCCTCCGCTTATCACGGCACTGAGGATGCACAGCTGGGGAATGTCCTGCTGAGGCCTCCTGGTTCCTTGGCCTCTGGCCTCTTGTCCCCACAACCTGCACAGTAAGCTGGAAGATCAACAAGCACACACAAAAAGGAAAGTTTTGTGAGGTTCCTGTGGAACTGGTTTTTTCCGGCCAGGGTAATTTATGATATGAGTATGTCTAGTTTTCTTTGCAGAGCATCCCTGTAGCCTCAGCTCCCTTTCCAAACCTAGCTGTAATGCAGAGTACTCAGAGATCCAGATCCATGGCTGTCTCTCTTATTTATTTCATTTTTTGTGTGTGTGTGCACGTGTGGCTCCCTTAGACACAAGGACCGAAACAAATAGTGCAACACCAAGGAAGGACCTGCTCTTTATCCCTCCTCACCCCCTCTGTCTCTCCCCACCTCAGCATTTTAAAACATACTCAAAATTGGCCCTGAGTGTTCTGACCTTCTCCCCCACTTCTCCACCCCCGCCCTCAATCTCTTACCTTCCCCTCCGGCCTTTTATTTTACCAATGGAGGAGCCTAGAATCTACCTCACCTGGCTATGAAATTGCAGAGTGGAGATGAGGTATTTCGAGGCAGAGAGGGTGCTGGAAGTTCAGGCTTGGGTGGGGATGGGGGCTGCTGCAATGGGCATACTGCCCTCCTTGGTAATGATGATGGAGTGCTGGGTGGAAGAGGACGAAGAAGAAGCCCGGGCACCTGCCCTGGCCTGGTCCTTTGGAAGGTAATGGACCACAGCGCTTAGCAGCCGGCCACGGAAACTTGGGCTGAGAAAGTTGTAAAGGATGGGGTTGGCAACACAGTGCAGCATGGAGAAGCAGTCGATGATGTCATAGAAGAAGTAGAGCAGGTGGGCCAGGTAGCAGTGGAGGGAGATATGGGTCCCGTGCAGACTGAGCAGCAGCAGAATCACATGATAGGGCACCCAGCAGATGACAAAGACAGCTATATAGGCACACACCAGCCAGCAGTGGCGCCAGCCCTCAGGCTGTCCTTGCTTCTGAAGCCGGCGAGCTGTTAACATGTTGAAGACCACGATGAGAGGGAAGGGCAGTAGGAAGCCCAGTACAGTAGTGGATAGGGTCACCACCAGGGCCCATGTGCTGTACGTTTCAAAAGGTGCCATGAAAAGGCACATGGGCTCTATATCATCCACCAGCTGGATGTGGATCACCTCAGGTAATGGGATGATGGCTGAGAGGACCCAGACACCTGCACACACAGCCCGGCGCACTCGGTGCTGGTTGTGCTGCCAGTAAGGAGACGTGTTGGTGAGTGTGACATAGCGGTCGACACTGAGGCACACCAGGAAGAAGATGCTGCTGTACATGTTGGCAAAGTAGAAGTAATGAGTGAAGCGGCAGGAGAAGCTGCCCCAGAGCCAGGTGTAGTCTAGCATGACCTCCAGCATCCACACAGGCAGAGACAGGATGATGCCCAGGTCCGCTATGGCCATGTTGAGGACATAGAGGTTCAGCAGTCCCATGCGGCCTGAGTGGCGCCAGTTGACACAGATTACCAGGAGGTTTTCCACCAGCCCAAGCACAAAGATGGCCAGATAGAGGACGAAGAGGATCACTCGCTTGGTGTTCTCACTGAGCTCTACATGGCACTCAGAAAAGGTGTGGTTGAAGAAGTCGAGCAGTTCTGTCCAGTTGTGGATCTCTCTAAAGTCACTGTCAGGCACCACAGTGGGGCCCTGCAATGGGCCAGGCCGCAAGCTGGGTTTGACTGACATGAGGACTAATAAAGGCTTTTTGGGAAGAAGAGGGGGTTGGAAGAGAAAGGACACCTCGAAAGCAGTCTTATGTCCCCCAGGCAGAAGGCACAGCAACTTGGGAGTTTGGAGGGAAAGATTCTGGGCCTGAAAAGGCAAGAAAGGGATGTTTAGCATTTGAACTGTGACTTGCCAACTTTGACCCAAGAGCAGAGACACTTTGTTAAGGAATTTCAGTGCTGGAAGAGGCAAGGACTGTTTATACCTACATGATTTTTTCCTTCCCAGCCTATCTGGTCCCTCAGCTCCAGGGGGTTCCCAATCTTCCCCTCTCCCAGCACTTCAATTCTTGGCACTTTGGTACATGTCTTTATTAGGGGCTCCTGCTCTGTCTTGCTATGTGGGCCATAGGTGGGGACACCCCCAAACCAATTCACCCTTGGTAAGGGTTTGTCTCCCACTTCCGTCTTTTCCATGAGAGGTGCAGACACTCACCTGAATTTCCCTTTGGAGCACCTCTGTCCTGGAGGTCCTGCAGGTCTGGACTGTTAGGGAGCTGCAAGGAGGCTGCTGGGACAGTGGCTGTGGGGCAGGCTTTGCTGCTGGCTTCAGGACCGCCTTTCATCCGGAAGTAGCTATCACTGGCTGCAGCTCTGTGGGAAGGGGCTGGGGTTTTTCCTGTATTCATCCAATCCAGTTAGAGGGGATGTCCCAGCCACAGACCTAGGAATGGTACAAGCCTTAAAACCCAGACTCTTCACTCACTAGCTGTGTGACTTGCCCTCTTTAAGCCTTAGTTCTTTCCTCTGCAAAATGGGGACCATTGTATCTACTAAAAGGGATGGTGTGAGATTTAAATGAGCCATCAAGGTAAAGCAGCTAAAACAAATTGAAAATCAGTCAGGGTTTTAATGATTCTGGTGACCCTACTGGTTCTCATCTATCCCTGCCAGTTTCCCCTTACCCACCATAGGTTTTCCAACTCCCTGCCTTCATTTTGGGATTGGAGGTGAGAATCTGAGGAGAGAGAAAAGACAAAATGTGGGAGGGGGAGAGGGCTGTGCCCAAATTTAGGGAGAGTACTGACTAGAGAGGGAGAAAGGAGAACACTGTCTTCAAGACTCTGGCCTCTTGGCGGAGGGTGTGGCATGTGGCTGGGGTGAAGATAAGCAATGGGGTGTGGGAAAGGGAAAAGACTTTCCTCTTCTCTTCCTCCAAACAAGGGCAAGGGGCTCTGGGCCCTTGACTTGTGTTCCTGATGCCCTGTGTCAGCGGGGCTGCCTGCCTCTCAGTGTACTCCCACTTCAGTTATCTGGATTGATCCTGGAGACAGCACTGTGGAGAGAGAGGATGGGCATCTTTATCTTCTTTGGGGTCCAGGGAAGACATACTGTACACAGGGCAGAGCCACCTGGACCTGGGCCCTGTTTTGTGTGATGTATAGGGCCAAGCATTCATTGGCTGGTGGAGATTAGAGAAAAGTTTAATTGGGCCAGAATTTAGCTCAGTGGCTTGCCTCTCAAGGCAAGGTCCTGAGTTCTATCCCCAGTACCAAAAAAAGAAAAGAAAAGAAAAGTTTAATCAAGAGAAAGTTCTCACAATATAAAACTAGCCACTTAAAGCATACAGTTCAGTGGGATACAGCACATTGCATTGTTGTGCTACCTCCGCCTTGGGCAAATACCATTAGGAAACTCTATACCCTTTAAGTGGTCACTTCCTATGGTATTTCTCCCTCTCTGCAGCCTCTGGCAACAAAAATTCTTTTTTTTTTTTAAAGTGGCAGAAGGATGTTTACTGAGTCCCTCAGTTCCAGTTCTCTTTCTTCTGCATGGTCTCTTGGTTCCATAGTGACACCAAGTTTGGTCAGCAATGATGAGACTCACTTTGTGGCCAGCAGGGTTGTCTCCATGGATGGTTGGGGGGTTTTCACATGCTGGTGGTTATTGCCTCCAAAAGAATGCTCCACATGGTTCATGGCCACACCCCACACTCGTGGCCAGCAGATCCCCTGTGCCTTATCACTTGTAAGCATGTCTGGCCTTCAGTGTGGGTTTCTCAATTTGGCCACCTCCAGCCCTCACAACAACCACAGCTTTGTTGACAGAGATGACCTTTGTAGAGTCAAGGGTAGCTTTATGCCTCTCATCTTGGTCTTGGGATTGTAGAAAATGATGGTGATATTGTTCTTGGAGTTTCAGGATGGCTAGCTCTGTTTCACTGGCTTCTCCAGGTAGCACATGATGGTACCCTCAGGCAAAATGCCCATCTGGAGGACATTGCTAGTGTTGAGGTGGGTCTTCTTGCTGTAGTACACCAACTGGCCCATGTGGATGCCCTCAGTGTCCATGAATAGCTTCTTAAACCTGTTGTCTTCCACGATGCTCTTGATGTAGCCATATAGTTCAGGAATATCCACAGTGTGCCATGTGTGATGACCTTGTGGCATTTCCTGTGCACATGGAACACAACTGCACCCTACATCATATGTCCACAGATCCCAAGGCTAGTGGCAGAGGGTCCATTCTTGAGGAAGGCTGAGAGAGCTGGTAACCACCAGTCTATATGGTTGTACCTAGTTTGGATATTTGCTGTAAATAGAATCATTTATCAGGTGACTTTTTTATGTCTGCTTTTTTTTTGTTTTGCATATTTTCAGGGTTCATCCTGAAAATATTGTAGCATGTGTACTTCCTTTCTTTCCATGGGTGAGTAATATTCTACTGTATGTGCATACCATATTTTGTTTATGTACTCAAGGAAGGGATTTTAAAAATTTGCTAATTAAGTTTTTTTTTTCATTTAGTTTATTGGTACATTTTAGGCATACAATACAGTTACATTTCTCATTGGGATCTTGTACCTTTACATGCTGTATCTTGGTTCTTATTTTTTCCCCATTCCCCTACCCTCCCTATTTACAAAGACTTTGTTTCCATGTTTTTCCTTTTCTCATATTTTTTCTTTTCCCTTCTTTCCTTTCCCCTTCCCCTCCCATTTCCC